GGAGGGGGGGGGGCAACTGAATTCAGACTAGGATTAAGAGTTATAATTAAATGAAACGTCAAAGTACATGATACAACGAATCGTCTTCTTTTTCTAATAATTTAATGAAACGTGAAAGCTTCCGCGCTATCCGCGGGATGGTTGAAAGTGATTTCAGACGTGGATTAAGAGTAATAATCAAATGAAACGTCGAAGCTTCCGCGCTTCGCGCGGGATGGGGGAAACTGAATTCAGATAAGGACACGATACACAAAATTGTCTTCCTTCTCTACTAATTTAATGAAAATATAAAGCTTCCGCGCTTCGCGCGGGATGGGCAAAAGTGAATACAGATAAGGATTAAGACTAATAATTTATTGAACCGTCGAAGCTTTCGCGCTTTTCGCGGTAGAGGGGAAACTGAATTCTATATCATCATCTTCTTTCTCTAATAATGTAATGAAATGTGGAAGCTTGCACGCTTCGCGCAGGAATGGGCGAAAAGGAATTCAGACAAGGATCAAGAGTAGTAATTTATTGAAACGTCAAAGCTTCCACGCTTCGCGCGGGAGGGGGGAACTGAATTCAGACAAGGATTAAGAGTCGAGAATGGTACATCGAATCGTCTTCTTTCTTTAATAACCTAATGAAACGTCAGAGTTTCCGCGCTATGCGCGGAAGAAGGAGAACTTTATTCAAACTTTAAGGATTCAGAGTCGAGAACGGTACATCGAATCGTCTTCTTTCTTTAATAATCTAATGAAACGTCAGAGCTTCCGCGCTATGCGCGGGGGTAGGGAACTTGATTCAAACAAGGAATAAGAGTTGATAACGGTACATCGAATCGTCTTCTTTCTTTAATAATCTAATGAAACGTCAGAGCTTCCGCGCTATGCGCGGGGGTAGGGAACTTGATTCAAACAAGGAATAAGAGTTGATAACGGTCCAACAAATCGTCTTTTTTTTCTCTAATAATTTAATGAAACGTCAAAGGCTCGCGCTTCGCGGGGGAGGGGGAAAACTCCTCTCTCCCTGCACCCAACGCCTATAGGGAGCGCGCTTCGCTAGGTCACTACCGACCCCCTAAAATGAAATCCTGGCTACGCGCTTAGGGAGGGGGGTACAACTGGCCACATGCTTCTACCCCTTGGTTGCTTTGATCCATTGCCGAAAAAATGTTGGCACCTGTCATCCCCCCCCCCCCCCCAACCACGGATACAAATCGACACCCTTGATAAACACAATAAATAATGATTATCTGTACACGAAATAAGTATTTCCAGAAATTGTCATATTATATGTGTAGGTGGCGCGCGCGTGTGTGTGTGTACGTGTGTGGCGTGTATGTGTGTAAAGAAATAAATTACTCAAATATATATGATATACAATCATGTAGAGGTGTCAATCGTTTCAGTCCAATGGAAGCGACTACTGCATGATAATCTCATCAGGTTTAGTCACATGCACAGTATCATGATGTACATGTACATGATATACCGGGCTTTTATTTTGTTTTGTCTATTTTTCCTCTGTTTCGACCACTATACATCTTTTAGTTTTGACAGTATCTGCAGCTGAATGTTCTACGCTACTGCTACGAACTTATCATTAAGATAATTAATAATTTGTTACGCTTTTTACATGTTCATAGTCACATTTGATTCTATGCTTTAGTATACAACATGTAAAAGTCCGTAAATTCCATGACAAGCAAAATGTTGTTTTGGGTTATTGGTGTGTGGGGGGTGTACAAAATTGTGCCCCCTCCCCAACCCGGATCCACCACGGGTGCAAAATGTCTTGCTTTCGCAGTATATTGTGAGTGAAACCGTGTGGTATACTGAAAAAGAAAACTTTAAACGGTTTGTAAATTAAAAGTTAGACCATTTTTTCACAAATTTTCATATCATATTATACCTTTTCGATACTAAACATTTTTTTTGTCAAACCTATCAAATTGGTCAAATTGCATTGCAATCTAACTGGAAGCTAATTTTAGATGCTTACATTCGTTATATGTTGTGCAATTACAAATAATTATGTGGTATTCATGAAATAACATCTTTCTTGATGTGTAGCTGATTATCAACCATGGTATTGCCAATGGTGGTCACATCCACCACCAACTTTGAGACAAACGAGCAGGTTATCATGGCTGAGGGCACTAGACAACAGATAACAAATGTATATTATTTTATATGGCTCATATTATGCTTGTTTTTTATTTTGTGTTCATCAGTAACATTTGCTTTTTGGTTCACAGAAACTGATGTCAACTTCTTTAGTATTCAATTTCCATGGCAGCGGCTATTTCTTTTTGCTTAGGTAAGATCATCAGGCTAGCTGTTCTTGACATGCTTGATGAGCTCTTGACGTTTCCTTTAAGACTATAATTGAACAGGAGGCCCACGATATGCCGGCTCGATTGGACGTCTTTACTGCATCTTCAAGTCGAGAAACACGATCATAGGTCACTGATCGGTTGTCTACAATGCATCTTCAAGATGAAAAGACGTTCATCCTGTGATTGATCGGACGTCTTAAGGAACCATCATTTTGGTCAAACAAAATTTTCATAGGCATCAATCTCTACTTGATAATATGTTGGTCTCATTCGCTTTTAGCTTCATGACCTATCGGTGTGTTTGGCCATATTGGGGCTCAGCAGAAAGACAGCCCATAAGACCAAAAAGAATGTCACTCTGGTGAACAATCGAATAGTTGTCAGGACGTTCACGAGACTGACATTATCGGTCTAGTGGTCTGTTGGTTTAGTGAGCCCTTATAAAAGATGTCAAAAGGCCTATGTTACCGATGTTGTTGGTATTGTGGGCTGTCATCACTAAGACCAATTATACTCTAGGGTCACGTACATTAGTGGATAATCTCAGCAATTTGGTTTCACTATTGTAAATAAATAAGTCCACATTAACTATGATTAATGACACCTCAATCCAAACTTTATTTAGAACATTAAAGGAGAATGAATTGACAATACAAATTTTACGTTACAATTTATTGTATATTTGAGATTATGTACATCCATTGCAAAGAACACAATGAAAAACCTCTAGTAATTTCAGCATGATGACATATTAGTAAATAAATGTACAACCAGAATATTAAATACACTCTTCCCCCACAGTTAAACTTATATACAATTATTAAGAAATACCTCTGCATCAATAACATCAAAACATCATACTTTTTTGTACAGATAACCAGCTTTTTAACAGAGAACAAAGTCAAAGTTGAGACAAAACAATCAAGGTGATAGAGCATACCATAGAAAATGCTAGTAAAATATATAACAATTTTTACATTGAGTCATGTGAGTCTTTTGTTAACACTAAACGTTGTGCCATTTTCTTAACGTGCATCCAAATAGAATCCGTAACTATACAATATGAGACAAAACAAAAACTTTCTAGTATATGGTATAGTAAGTTAGTTTGTAGGCACAATTAATATTTCACTTCCTAGAGAAACCAATGAGCTCAATTAACTACCAGTATGTGTTCCATTAACCTCGCATATTTGGACAAATAATTGCTCTTATTTTTATATAGTTTAATAGTACAATTATTCTTACTAACGTTGAATGGAGAAAACAAAATGGAAAATCTGTTTGTTTCATATTGTCAATGTCTTCCTTTATGTGTTTATAACCATTACAGATGTAAAGTGCTTTAATAACACAGTTTAATTACCATAGCGCTGAACACAGTCAGCACATAAGGTGTGCTACATCTCACCTCACCCACCCCCCCCCCCCCCCCAATAAGTTTGTGTAAGGCAATATGAGTAGACAATCACATCAATTTTGTATAATATCTAACCATGTTCCTCATTCAAATATCATGTATGGAGCTTCCTCACCATTCGAAGACTACAAAATACATTTCCATTCCCTGGGTAAGACTATGTCTGCTCGTGAGTAGTTTACATACCTTTCAGGTCTACATCAACGTACTGACAATCATTAACTGATTGATATATACACTACATTTTTATTATAGAAAACACATCATGGAAACAAGCTTTAGAAGCCTGATACCCAGTACCGGCCGCACAGAAACGCTGTTAGTAGCAGGTTTGTTAGCGCTAACAAGTCACTAACAAATCAGCCACTAACACGGGTAAAATGACCGTACAGGAAGCGCTGTTAGCGCGCTGTTAGACACGCACGCTGTTACATCGCTGTTAGTGAACTTGAGCCATAGAGTTAGGTAAAAATCTATGATTTGTGCGTAGATGTGACGTCATTTCGGCGATTTGCGTATGCGTCGGGTCGTCTGGCGTCGTCAGGCCAAATTTGCGAACCCGTTCATCGATGATTTGGGGTTCGTCAGAAAACTAGTGACCCGTTGTCATAATGACGTCATCTTGCTACATCGCAGCGTAAATCAGAAAGTAAAAACAGAAAGAGAAAGTGATAGAATGATAAAAACAAATAATAACATAAGAGAAGATGATGGAAGGAAGAAACAAAGGATAAAATAAGGAAAGACGGAAAGAGAAAGTGATAGAATAATTAAAAAAAACTAAGAATAACATAAGAGAAGGTGAAAGAAGGAAAAAAACAAATAATAACATGAGAGAAGATGATGGAAGGAAGAAACAAAGGATAAAATAAGGAAAGACGGAAAGAGAAAGTGATAGAATGATTTTTAAAAAAATAACATAAGAGAAGATGATGGAAGGAAGAAACAAAGGATAAAATAAGGAAAGACAGAAAGAGAAAGTGATAGAATGATTAAAAAAAACTAAGAATAACATAAGAGAAGGTGAAAGAAGGAAAAAACAAATAATAACCTAAGAGAAGATGATGGAAGGAAGAAACAAAGGATAAAATAAGGAAAGACGGAAAGAGAAAGTGATAGAATGATTACAAAAAACAAAGAATAACATAAGAGAAGGTGAAAGAAGGAAAAAAACTAAGAATAACATTAGAAAAGACAGAAAGAGAAAGTGATAGAAAGATAAAAACAAAGAATAACATAAGAGAAGATGATGGAAGGAAGAAACAAAGGATAACATAAGGAAAGACAGAAAGAGAAAGTGATAGAATGATAAAAAAGGGAGAAAGTTATAACGCACGCAAGAAATTATTCACTAACATTGTCACTATTGGTGCCCCTGGCACTGTTAGTGAGTTGTTAAAACATGCGGCCTTGAAATGTAAGCCTAATTCGACTAACGTTACGCTCATGTGCGGCCAAAACAGCGCTATCGGTACTGTTAGTGCGCTGTTTGCGTTAACAACGTTTCTGTGCGGCCGCCACAGGTCATTTTTGTCATTCAAATGAATATCAAACAGTGTTCTATCAGATTTGTTGAAACTCACATAAGAACAATGTCACATTGCTTTTCCTATTCTCTTACAATCAAAGAGTTAATTTATCACATACTTTCAACACATTATATATATTGCATTTCATAAGGGCACAACATTTACGGAAAAGTTGAAAACTTCAAGGTACTATTTATCATTTTTAATGTCTTTATTCTGAATTTTAACTTTCGATAAAGAGGTGTGAATACGCAATGAGAACACTTGATATGTCGCGTATCAAGTGTTTTGTCCGCTTGACATATATCTTTATTTTCCATCTGTTTGACAGATATAACTTGTCCAAATAAATCAACAAATGTAAGTTTTCCAGAAAAAGGCTAATCTCGCTTTGTAAATTTAGGAATATTTCCACGAAGAATATTCAGGACGGATTTTAAGACAAATTTTTAATGTAAATAGTACATTAAAACAATTCTAAATTTTTCTAATGATAAATATGTACAAAAGAGGAAATCTTACCAAAACTAAAATTGATAACATTTATTTTAATTTCAATTCAATGTTTTATTCAGTCAATACCTATTTGTAAAACATAAGTCTGTTACTTACTTTTGCAAACATTGATGGTGAGGTTGAAAGAATTAGTTGAAACATTGTTCCATTTTACTTTATAAATTTTTATTTGATTTGTTAAATAATGATAATAATAATAGCTCACATTTATAATGCGCCTAATACTTTGTTTCTAGGCGCGGAACATATTATAAAATTGCTAATTTGTCTTACTTTCTAACATGCTTAGTGGCCAATAAATAATAACCATGAAAAAAATATGGTTTTGCATTTATCTGATAAGACTATCCTGGTTAAACAAAACAAATTATTATTATTATTATTATTATTTGTGTTATTATCATTCTACTTATCACTATAATTCTTATTATTATTGTTAGTATTGTTCTTATCAGTAGTGTTATTATAAATATAATTATTAATATCAGTACTATTATCTTTAGAAACAAGTTATGAGAAATAAGTGCTTGCCGTATTTGAATTTAAAAAATCATATTTAAAAACCTTCCAAACTGCTATTAAAAAATGTGTGTATTATTGTCTGTATGATATAATCAAAATGTCCTAGTTCAACCATTAGTCTTTCATCAATTATAAAAGTCAATAAACAATATGTTTGCAATTTGATTGTGAATGGAGTAGGAATAGTTTTGCCTGTTATAATAAAGGGTAATATGGGAACAGCTTTTGACATTTGAATTCATTTAGTCTATATAAGTTATCAGCATGATGACCAGTGAGAAAAGAGATGTCAGCCATGTCACACAGCTAGAAGTGAGACCCTCAGAGCTGGATTTGTTGTCGTTGCATTTTGATTCAGTACAACAGGATGTGCAACTGGTAACACCATTCGCCGAAATGCAGTAAGGTCCATCTCCATGCAAGGTAGCAATGCATGGGTTATCTGTGCATCCACGCGACACAACCGTGTGTGATGAGTTCTCATAATGATCAGTCTGCAAGAAAAGAAGAAGTTTTATTATTTTATGTGGTTATCTAACTTCATCTTTCGTACTTTGTTGAGTTTGTGACAGTATTCATTTTGTAAACGTTATTGTAGAATTTTCATTTCATCATTTGATTTTTTCAAAATACAAATCGCACGGCTCTTTCCCCTTTCCAGTTAACCTGGTGATTTTTGTTTGTTTTTGATAGACGTACCCCTGTGTTTGGTCTCTTGCTCTGTAATGTATTTGAATATCTGTTTCCTTTTATTAACCAAAAAGAGAAATAGGAGAAAAATCAAACGAAACAAGAAATAAACTAAAACAGACGGACGAACTATCACTTACCCCAAGTATACGAAAACGGAATAAATATACAATTAAGACAAAATATAACATCAGGTGAAAATTCTAGATTAATGTTTACTTTGTATAAATTCATGTTTTGTGTTTCCCAACATCAATTTAGAGACACATCCTCTTTGTATTTTTATTTATCAACCCAAACTATATACACATGCCAGATCAATCCTGTGAAGAAATGTAAATGTCAAAGTTTTTAAATACCCAACAACGCTGTCCTTCATAGCATGTAGGAGTTAGTACTCCGGAACCGCTTGCAAGTTCATCAGCAGTAGAGCAAACATCCGTTATGGAGTTAGTCGAACAAGAATAACATTGAAGAGTCTGCAAGGAAAGTTAAGATGCACATGGAATTATTTTCAAAGGTACTAAAAGAATATATTATCTAATTATCTGATTCTAGGATATGTGGACAGCATTTAACACTAAAACTGCACAAATAACATCCCCTTCCATGTTCCCCATCAAAGGTAAACCAAAACCATATTAAAACTAAATTATGTTTAGTGACAAATAAAATGTAAACAGCAGAATTGAAAAATATTTTCTAAACAATTAATTTATGTTTTTTGTTCAGAATATCAATTAGATGTATTCTATAGGCAACAAGTCATTAACTTAAGCAAGGAGAAGAAGGTTCTTTCTCAAGAAATCTCTCTCATAGATCTTCCTGACAAAGAAATATACATTTTTAGCTCATTATAATTGGTAAAGACATTATACATAGCCACAAAAACGTGTACAATATTGAAGAAGCCTCTCCCCATCAAGCATTAGAAGATTTCACTTCACTTACCCCTTGCATTCTTGTGGCCGGGGTAGTAGCTGTAGTGACGGAAGTTGGATAAGGTATCATTATTGATATGATCTACAGACATGAAATGTTAGCAATACATAATTATGTTCCATACCTTGCTAAGTCATTCAGAAGGAGGTAGGGGTGGAGCTGCTGAACGTTTCCAATATCCTTTGGAAAGTAGGGGCAGTGTTTTGAAGGGTTAGTGAGATCTCAAATTTGCGAGGGAATGTTTTAAAAGTATCCCAGAAATATTATTATAAAATGTATATTGTTATTAAATAAATATGTTAAACTTGTTCTGATCTTTGGAATGTTTTGTTTTCCTTTAATCCATTTTCATCCTTTTTTAAGTGTTATCCTTTTATTTGTACTGACAATTCTAGATATTTTGTGCTTTAAAATAAAACTCTCACTTTCGATGTAATTTATTAGCATTCTTAAATAATGTATAGGTTATGGTCACAGCTGGCCGTGGACTTCCCTGCTTCCCTTTATGATGGATTCCACAGAAAAATCGCTCCTTCAGACGCAGTGTTCCGCACGTTTTTTTTGTTTTTTTTTGTTTTTGTTTGGGGGGGGTTCTAGGCAGTTACGTGCACACAAGGTGGCAGCGAGAGGCTGGTACGATGGGCATGTATGTCCAACACGTACTTTGACAATCACATGTATATGTGCAAAAAAGCGTTAAACGTTAAACTTGTTCTGATCTTTGGAATGTTTAGTTTTCCTTTAATCCATTTTCATCCTTTTTTAAGTGTTATCCTTTTATTTGTACTGACAATTCTAGATATTTTGTGCTTTAAAATAAAACTCTTACTTTCGGTGTAATTTATTAGCATTCTTAAATAATGTATAGTTTATGGTCACAGCTGGCCGTGGACTTCCCTGCTTCCCTTTATGATGGATTCCACAGAAAAATCGCTCCTTCAGACGCAGTGTTCCGCACGTTTTTGTTTTTGTTTTTTTTTTTGGGGGGGGGGGGGAGGGGTTCTAGGCAGTTACTTGCACACAAGGTGGCAGCGAGAGGCTGGTATGATGGGCATGGATGTCCAACACGTACTTTGACAATCACATGTATATGTGCAAAAAAGCGCACGGCAAGATGAGACCATAGCATAACTTATCCAGAACGAGCATAATTACTGGCTATAATACAAGCTACTTTCAAATAGAACATCTTACCTTCGCTGCATACTGTACAGTCTACACACGTAACCCCATCACAGATAACTGGGAAATCAAAATGCAGGGGATAATTGTTTAATAAATCAATTTACTGACCAACGAAATCGTATCATGTTTTACACGTTTGATTTAGTCTTCTAAAACGTCAATTTTGAACATACTTTTAGGGGCACAGATTTGCTAAAGGTTTCCACACACTTGAAACAAGCAGTACACAGAAGTGATTATCATTCAATTTCTTGGGAGTTTATTCAAATTCGAAGTAAGTCGAATTGCATTTTTACTTGCATTCTATAATACACGCTATTGTTAGATTTCCCATAAATAATAATATCCATATGTATGCACGTATTCTGTATCTCTTGTTTATGCCTTCGGCACCGGAGATGAAGGCGGGTGCATTATGTTTTCTAGTTGTCCTTTGAGTTGAACTTCGAACTTGATGATAATATGTATCATCATATAAGAGGACAACCTGATTATATTTATTATGGTAAGAAAGTCAAAAGTTCATGGGTAAAAATATCCCCCCTTTCCCCCCCCCCCCCTTTTTGTGTCACATTTCCACAGGAGCAACCGTTTGAAATGTTGAGAACTATTTTTTTTTCATTCAGGTTGAAAATAACCGGTCTCAATTTAAACGTGAGGTTTGCTGCCCACATATCAGGCGCAGCAAGGAAGATGGTCAAGGGATACGTGCATGAAGCCTTCCTGCGTCTCATTTATGTTTATCATGCATTCAATTCAATTAAGTTTATTCATTTCCATAAAAAATCACATTACAAGAACACACACATTTGCAAAAGGTACTGTAAATAAAATGCAAAATATTTCACTAAAATATACGTAAGTACATTAAAATATTTAACGATAATGGAAAAGAGGAAATTATAGAAACCCAAATAAATTAGTTTTTTTCGAGATATCTCCCCCAAAATAATTAAATAAAATGTGATGAACATAATAAAGATTTGAAATTACATAAACTTATTTTGCCCCAGAGAAAAACTGGTATAACAGAAACAATCAAAAACCGTACAAGCCCTACAAATACACACATACACACACATATATAAAAAGTGGAACAGTATTCTACTCAAAATCACATGTATGTGATTAGATGCTGCTTTACACTTCTTTTCACTTCATTCAGCGTGTGTATTTAATTTCTCACAATTATCTCTTCATATATTGGGACAAGCTGCATCAAAATAATATGTTTAGTATGTGAACTTATACATTGCCTCCATACAAGATACAAGATACACACACACATAGATAATGTACACTGTTGTGTGGTACTCTGTTATACCCAATACAACCAGGCTGGCTGGATTGAAACCCAACTCTAATCAAGCTCTATGTGTCATAATTTCAGTACTAATCACACAGCTTAAAGGTACTATGTCCCATTTGCAGGCCAAAAAATGAAAAGGTTAAATTCCAATGGCATTTGAAAAATAATACTAATTTAGAACTCCCCTTAAAAAGGGGGAGCTTGAAAATGTCTTAAAGTGGGAAAATAACTACTATTTGTCGTCAAATCGACTTAGGAGCTATAGAGCCAATAAGTAATAGTCTTCATTTTCAGACCATTGTACCGCATGGTCGTACGTTTTATGCTGCGCAAATACTCGATCTGTTTAATGTTGGCCACTACAAGAAGTGGGTTATTGATGTAGACAAATCCTTTACAGCTCATTTTATGTATGTTATTACCAAAGAAGAAAAAAAACATTCAATACTGACAATAGTGTCTGACAGTGAGGTCTAGCAAGTAAACGGGTTTCCTTGCATAATTGGAATATTAGGACACTGCTAACGTTTAAATTTCACAGATAGGACATACATGACATATTTATAATTCCTGCAAAGTTCTACAGAATTTGAGGTTGGCTGCAAAAGGGACATAGTATCTTTAAACAACCCCACATTATAAAGTTCATGTTATGAAATTGTGCGTAGGGAATATAGGAATATCAACAAATAAAATTAATTAATCAAAAGGTGACAGGAAAATCTTAATGTTTTGTAGGAAATATATATATAGCGCGCTAGGATTATGCTGTAAATCTTTGTTATCGCCTTGCGTAGTTTAAATTGTCTGGCCTATGCTTTTATTGAGATCTTCTTTACCAATGCACTCCACCACATTGTGGTAGCTTATATCTATAGTGTCGAGCGCATTGCTTTAATATAAAAAACACCATGTGTGTGTTATTACTCACGAGTTACGCCAGAAACTGTTGTACCGTAGGCAATTCCATTTTCGTTCAAGATTTGGATATTCGATGCATTCAGAGTGGAACCCACGGAGCTGTCAAACACAGCAGTGAAATCAACTACTAGAGAACCACTGGAGAATCCTGTTACAGTCACCATGATTTGACAAGCAGTGCCGTTCCTTGACTCGGCAGTAGCATTGCAGTAACCGCCGGTGATCTGTGAGTAAGCAGGAAATAATTAAATAATAGAAATCCCCCCCCCCCCCCCTCAGCAAATTTTGAGGTACATGTAGTTCATGTAAAATGATGATGATGATTTATTATTATTTGGCACATAGATCTGGCATTTTGATAGAAGGCATCTATATAGTGTGCGTCTATGATACATTTACTATTTAAATGACTTGCTTCCCTTATAAGGCTCAGACTGCCCCCGGAGAGAGCCACGTGATGTTTAACTTACGCCGCACAGTGGGCCAGGGAGGAACCAAAGTGCGCCAAAACTCATTTTTGGTGATTTATTTTTTGAATTTTTTTTCGTGCCCAGTTGAAAGACAATACATTGAAGAATACTTCAGTAAAATATTAAATTTCAGTATGCACAATAAGGGTATGAATCATGGGTGTCGATCCCGGGGGGGGGGGTGGGGGGATATATCCCCCCCCCCCAATATTTCAGGTGGGGGGGGGATAGCCTGTACAATCATCCCCCCCCCCCCAATAATTCACCATCAAAAAAAAATGATGAGAGCCCGATGAGAGTAGTTAATGGTTATTACTCGCAAGATGACCATCAATATACACATTTTGCTATCTCATTTTCATAATACATACATAATTTATTTACGAAGTAAATGAGACAACCGTATATGAGACAAAAATAAATTGAATTCTCGCTCATACGGCTTCATCAGGAATTGATGAATTTATTCAATTTGTTCAATCAACAGCATCATAGAAATGCAGTGCGCCAAATACAAAGACGCAGCGTTAAAAAGCAACGAGCTAAATGTTAAGCGCGAAGCGCAAAAGTACCAATCTGCGATGCACATGCAACTCTGTGACAAATTTGTGATGAGATCGGAGACAAGGAGAAAGCTTCCGCGCTTTGCGTGGGAGCGGGGAAACTGAATTCAGACAAAGATTTAGAGTCGAGAACGGTACAGCGAATCGTCTTCTTTCTCTGATAATTTAATGAAACGTCAAAGCTTTCGCGCTTCGCGCGGGAGGAGTGAACTGAATTCAGACCAGGATTTAGAGTCGAGAATGATATATCGAATCGTCTTCTTTCTTTAATAATTTAATGAAATGTCAGAGCTTCCGCGCTACGCGCGGAGTAAGGGGAACTGAATTCAGACAAGGATTTAAAGTCGAGAATGATATATCGAACCGTCTTCTTTCTTTAATAATTTAATGAAACGTCAGAGCTTCCGCGCTACGCGCGGAGGAAGGGGAACTGAATTCAGACAAGGATTTAAAGTCGAGAATGATATATCCAATCGTCTTCTTTCTTTAATAATTTAATGAAACGTCAGATCTTCCGCGCTATGCGCGGAGGAAGGGGAACTGAATTCAGACAAGGATTTAGAGTCGATAATGGTACAACGAATCGTCTTCTTTCTCTAATAATTTAATAAAACGTCAAAGCTTCTGCGCTTCGCGCGGGAGGGCGAGGGGGGTGACTGAATTCAGACAAGAATTAAGAGTCTAGAATGGTACATCGAATCGTCTTCTTTCTTTAATAATCTAATCAAACGTCAGAGCTTTCGCGCTACGCGCGGAGGAAGGGGAACTTAATTGATTCAAACATTAAGGATTAAGACAAGAGTCGAGAATGGTACATCGAATCGTCTTCTTTCTTTAATAATCTAATGAAACGTCAGAGCTTTCGCGCTACGCGCGGAGGAAGGGGAACTTAATTGATTCAAACATTAAGGATTAAGTCAAGAGTCGAGAATGGTACATCGAATCGTCTTCTTTCTCTAATAATTTAACGAAACGTCAAAGCTTCTGCGCTTCGCGGGGGGGAACTCCCCCTCCCTGCACCCAACCCCCTAGGGAGCGCGCTCTGTAAGTGATTCGCACGCTTCGCGTGATCACTACCGCCCCCCTAAAATGAAATCCTGGCTACGCGCTTGGGGAGGGGGTGCAACCTGCCACACGCTTCTACCTCTTGGTTGCTTTGATTCATTGCCGAAAATATTTTGGCACCTATCATCCCCCCCAACCACGGATACAAATCGACACCCTTGGTATGAATTCACTCCTTCAAACAACAAAATCTTACATATTCACTGTTTTAGTGCAAAAGTGACTTATTTTATATATTTTAATCATGAAGGATTCGCGGTCATAAATTATGGCGAGTGGGGGCGCGTGACACTTGTTCTGACACCGCGGACCAAAATAAACACATTTTTCGGGGCAATGTTGCAAGGAAAATCGGCTCTAACATAATAACGGGCAGAATCGGGCAGCCAAATCTGGTATCAACTTAAAGCTTAGACATTAGAAAAATGTTGGTAATAAAATTAAAGCGGAAATTCCCTGGAAATCCAAATGCTTCCTCTGGATTTATAAAAAACATGGATAGTTAGTCCACTTTTCAGTAAATTACCCTATATTATATTATGAAGATTGTGTTTCTATTCATTTTTAACCCATCCATGCAGTGACATGAACTATCACGAATATGTGAGAGAAATTTCATATCTATTACTTAAAAACTTCATGTTTAATTGAAAGATTTATAAAAATGAGTCACTTTTGCACTTAAACTCTGAATATGTAAGATTTTGTTGTTTGAAGGAGTAAATTTATACCCGTATTGTGCATACCGGAATTAATATTTTACGGAAGTATTCTTCAATGTATTATCTTTCAACTGGGCAAGACACAAATTCAAAAAAATATATCACCAAAAAATGAGTTTGGGCGCACTTTGGTTCCTTCCTGGCCCACTGTGCGCCGGTTCAATTGGGACTTATTACATCGATTTTTTCTCAAACACCTAAATTTGTATTGTTCATATGAAACCAACAGATCAATTGATTTCTGTAGCAATAAAAGGTTATCGCATGTAAATCACGACCAGGATGAACCGTCATCATCATTTGTTGTAACAGTTTAAATCATTTGACGCCTAAGTACAGTTTCAAAACGGTTTTACCAATTGTGAATTAACTGTTTTTGTTAACAGTAAACGAGGGGGCAAGTTTGCTCAGTCGGTAAAGCGTCTTCGAATCCAACCACTGCGGATAACTGAAGCCTACTTGCGTGTTAACGTGCCCCTCCCCAGTTTCAAAGACGCAGTCTATGTATACAGTGGAAAACACTCATTTAAATCATTGCCTGCTATAGGTCCATGGTTAAATAGAGGCTATGTGTAAAATAGAGGCTATGTGTAAAAGAGAGTCATAACTTTTGCCCGTTAAGTCCACTCTAAAGATAATTTACTTTCAATAGAAGCAGAAAATTTTGACAAACCAATCAAAAAAGGTTTGAGCAAAATTGGATAACTAATACAAAAGTTATGAATTTTTAATGACATGAAAAACATTGAAAATCACAAGACAAATTGGCAACTCACTCATGAGTCTGTGACGTCATTGTCTCACTATCCACTATTTTTTTTCTTCTTTATATTGATAATATATATTTCCAATTTTCCCCCTGAAAGTCTTATTTCCCCACACCAGCATTCAAGTTACATTGAATTTTGTGTTTTAGTAATGTGTTTTATTTAAATTATTCCAAATTTGAATTTTGATAAACTATTTATATACAAAATCAACGATTTCGAATATACAATATTAAGAAATTGTGTCAATTCTTCAAAGGTCAAAAGATTTTGTGAAATGTCATACAAGCAATATTATGCAAGTCATATAATCTGGGCAATGGCATGGGGAAATCAAGTTTCTGGGGATAAAAGAGGGAAATTAATGGAATAAAATTATAAAAAGCAATGACGTCACAAACTGATAACCAAATTGGCAATTTTTGTAGGGATTTTTGAAGGTCCATAGTTTTTCATACTTTAAAAAAAAATCATAACTTCTTAATAGTAATCCGATTTTTCTCAAATTTGTGTTGGTCTGTTTCTTTTGTTTTTCTGCATCTGTTACAGGCAAATTATCATGTTTACAAGAACCCGCTGTACTTTTAGAATAAGAATAGGGAGAAACCTTGGTGTAGTGGTCCACCTGCACACCCAATCAATTGTACTGGGAGGAGAGACCCGAGGGCTACAAGCTGATTCAGTGTCCCTTTTCACCTTCCAGGTGACCCCGAATACTTGATAGTGATAGTAATAATAATATATAAATAAACTGGTTCATTGACAGGAAAGGTGGACAAATTAGAATGGAATAAGTAAGCTGCTCACCCTTTCTTCCCACAGTTCAGCGGCTTCCATGAATTCAGATGAAGAAGTGTTACCCAATGCAGTTGTATATTCTACCCCACTGACTGTGATCTCAGCACTTAGTAAGTTCAACTCTGTATCAAGTATAATTTTTGTTTAAATACATGATTAAGTTTCCGCTTAACAATACCGTGTGAGTCAAAAAAAAAGTTAACACCTAGAAAATTGCTTATTATTTTAACAATCATCTATGAACAGTAAACTATTATACATCTTATGAAATAGTGTTTTATCCCAAATCATTTGGTATCATTTTTGTGTGGTATGGGTTCACGCTTGGATGAACAGGAGGCATTGTTTGCTAGAATGCAAAAAATCGACTTGCGCCAAAGTGATGCCTACAGTATGTATTATGTTGGGATTAGCGGAGTGAGAGAATGAAATGAATGTATCAAATGAAATGCATTGCTTATGCTTTTTGCAGAAGCAAAGCCACACACACACGCACACACGTGCACAAGAGTTCGTTGATATTTGATATTCGATATTTGATATGTGTGGCATAATCAATTTTGTTAGGGATATTTTTGGATCTGCAAAGACCGAATTAATACCCAAATCCCATTTGTTTTATTCAAGCATCACATAAGCAATTTTGGCGCAAGTCGGCCTATGCACTCTCGCAAACAATGCTTCCTGTTTATCCAAGCGTGAACACATACCACACAAACATGATACCAAATGATTTGGGATAAAACACTCTTTCGTGAGATGTATAATAATTTACTGGTCATAGATGATTTTTAAAAAAATTAGCAATTTTCTAGGTGTAAACTTTTTTTTGACTCGCACTGTATAGCAGTTAATAAATGAAATTCAAAGATGAAATTCTCTGGTTTAATAATTTTGGCAGCAATTCAACTTAATACTTATTATTCATATGTACATTGTTATGAAAGATTTCCATACCTGTACTACTACATAAAGCTCCATTAAATCCCGAAGCACACGTACAGGCAATGCTCTCACAGCTACCTCCGTTCAGACATGGGTTGGCCCCAGAACAGTCAACTACAGAGAGGAGAGAACATTTCCTATAATCAATGCCAAATCTTTACATCTTTATATTTGTCCTTAACGTGAATATCGATAAATGATGAAAGGTTTTACAAATCTTGGCATATGTCACGGATATCAATGCACCATATAATACAAGCGGAAATACACAATGAATATCTATTTTAATGAACAGTAGCGAATCTCGGGATTGTGGAGACCGAGCAAACAACAAACTTGCGCCTTTACCTAACTTGTTGACAAATACAAACCAGAATTCCTCACCTTTTCATTACATGAAAATTACATGTGATATCCTTAACTCGAGATTGGTAACCATAATTTTAATTTCTATGCAATTTATCGTTGAAGCAAATTAGGCGACCGAGCGAGGGATTTCATTTCCAGCCTCACCCCTAATAAATTCGAATACCTTGTATTTTACCAATGATCTTTTAAGGTGGCACAACTGAATATCGAAGAATACACTATTTTAATTGTTTTCCGATATCCAGGATGCAAATTAAACGCATTACATTCGAATGATTTAGTTATGACTTAGCTAGACCATGAAAAAAATTCTTCTTCAAACTATGAACCTTTGGAAATGCTAGTTTGTACGCATTATCCTGGGGAAGGAGAGCAAAATTTAACAAGAACACTGCACGTTGAGTTAGAAGTTAAACCCTTCAAAGGCTAATGTTAGGTACTAACTCCCATATTATGGGCGCATTACCAGATCCCGAAGGAACACATGCCTATTATATGCGAGAGGGCCAAGCGACTGAGCCTTTGGAGATGTTCCTATTTTATGCAAACGCTGTTTCTGACGCACATTACCCATGATTGGGGGCATATATACCTTTAATACCACAATTTCTCTTAATTATCTTATTTTCTTCCCTTTCTCCTTTCTTTTGCATTTGTGCGCTCCCGCAAATGAGGCCCAGGACACGTGCCCTTTCCTTTGCACCCCCTAGAAACGATTCAGATAATGAGAATGCTGTATTTAAATTTGTCCAACTGCCGTAGTTTTATCATTTTTTTACTTGTGTATATAGGCCTTTTTACTTTAACACGATCGCGAAGACTTTTTAAAGGCGATTCCAGTAGCTTTGTCGATAGCCAAAATTATAATAAACTGTTACGTTGTTATAAAATAATCTCCATCGGATATACGACAAGATACTTTAAGTACCGTTGAGTTGAGTTCCGAATAGACTTTGCAGTAATGTTCTCTCTATGTTCTTCTCGTTTTGATGGGGTACGAGCTAGAAGCATATTCTTGATATATCAAGCATAGTCAAGGTCCCAGAGCACCATGACAATGAGTTATCAATTCCCTACCCTTGAAAACTCAAATCCTATTTAACCAATACGATGAATCCTAACAAAAAAATATGTTGATCAACTATCAACAACTATTGGAAAAGGGCTCAATTCAAGAGACCACGACATCGATGAATTACTTATGAATCTACTTATTTGTGTAATCTGCCGGACTTACGATGTAGTCTGTTTCAGGCGCGGATCAAGGATTTCTTAGGGGTGGAGGCCCAAATTTGAAATCAATTTGAAATTTAGTGTGCTGAAATATAAAAATCGTGGCGGTCAGTAGGGAGAGGGGGGGGGGGGGGTAGTGAGCACTATTTTTTTTTTTTTTGCTCCCAAAAATGTGAAAATCGCGCTGGCCGAAAATTCGCTCAGTGGTGGGGATGGGGGGGGGGTAGTGGGCACTAATTTTTTGTTTGGGTCCTCGAAAATTTTGAAAAATTGCACCCCCCCCCCCCCCCTTGAGCGCCAGGGGGGGCCCATCTCCAAGAAAGGAAAATTAACGTTAACAAATGTAAAAATACACGGGGTTTTTTTTTCTCCAGGGGAGGGGGCCCGGGCCCCCCGGGCCACCCCCTCCCCCCCCCCTGGATCCGCTAATGGTCTGTTTACATTGGCGGTAGTCTTGTTACTGTATACACTTTAATACTCATTGTATTTTTTATTTACAATAATTTGTCCAGTCAGCTCCATGAAATCTAGCCACTCTCAAATTACTTAAATTCAAATGTGTTCCTAAGATCCCTTTTCTTTTAAACTCAGTCAGCTCCATAGTATCTGCTATATCTGACAACCTTCAATAGACCCGTTTCCTAATGTTTAAAAAATAATAATATGCATGTTTCTCTCCAAAATACCTTGTTCCTATTTGATTCCCATTTTGACAATGGCATCTCCATATGATTCCACTTTGCATAGGGTTTAAATATATAAACTTTAGTGTATGATCACTGTTTTCTAAACCTTTAAACTATACTTGCAATTCATTATCTTTGTACCTCATTATTCTATACCAATACATAAAAGACTATCGGGTTACGGTTATTTATGTGGTTTTTTCACGGCATCCGTTCAGCTCTCTCCATAAGATCTACTGTTGATGCTAAGTTATCTTGATTACGTCTTTGCTGAAAAATAATATTATATATACACTACGATAAATGTCCATACCTGTACTACATAAAACTCCATCAAACTCCGCAGTACATGTACATCCATTGTTCTCACAGGTACCTCCATTCATGCATGGGTTTTCACCAGAACAGTCAACTAAAGAGAGGGGGGAAAATATCCTCAAATTGAATGACGAATCTTTCACTTTACCGTTCACGTGCATATCGATAAATCAGGAATTGGTGACCTTTCTTACCTTGAAAAAAGCAGTCACTGATATCAAATTGACAAGAATATCTTACAAATTACTTTCGAAACATAATTGTCCTGTCTTATTCTTCCTTTCTTTTCTTTTTGATAAAAAGGCGTATAGCCCTAAAGTTAAAATAATGCTGTCCATATATTAAAAGGTTAAAAGCTTGATACAACAGCATCGTGACTTAACTATTTTTAACTAATAAATAAGTAAATGCTTGTCCCTTGAACAGCAAAGTTTTATTTATTAGTATGACGAATACGATGAATCCCAATAGCATTTAATTTACGTTACATTATATTTCCATACCTGTACTACACAAAGCTCCATTAAATCCCGCAGCGCATGTACATCCATTGTTCTCACATGTACCTCCGTTCTGACACGGGTTGCCACCAGTACAGTCAACTAAAAAGGGTAGAGAAATCATTCCAAACAAAACTTGCACATTTAGAGTAAAAAAATAACAAGTGACTATTTGTGAGAACAGTCAGGCTTGGTAAAAAAAATTATATTAAGAATAGAAGATTGGAATTTGTATTGTGAATTTATCAAACTGCAGAGGTGTATCCATGGCCTGCTTTACTTCGTTTTTTGTTAGCAGAGGCAGGAGTGATGGGAATGGGATCGGTTATTAAAACGTTAAACAGAATATGTGTCAAGAGATGACTTTGAATATTTGTAGGTATCATGTGATAGGACTGATTATATACTCAGCAAAGGCATTACCATCATTGAAACCACGTTTTAAATCAAAGTAAGATGATGTCATTTGTTTGTATTCAGGTTTATGATTATTACGGTGACACTTTCTTCCTGATTGGGACATGGAGGAGGGGGAGGGGTGATTGTTCAAACAAGATTGCATTATTTAATTTACTTGCAAACCTTTCATTGATTTTGTTTTGCTCCTCTGCCAAAAGGTTTTGCTTCTCTGCAACGTAAATTAATTCTGTCTTTTTGCATCTTGCTTTTATCATATTAATTTAGTAAACTTGACTTTTGTCATACGTGCTTCAAGGAAAATGAAATGAAATGAATATTATGTCATAAACATCGATGTATCTTCTTTGTTAGTTGGATTATCGCATATTTTTTATCACAAATATTTATGATTTCATGTATGGCTTGTAACAGGTGTCTTCTTTAAGAGATATGATATTTCAAAACAATGACAACTTTCATTGGAGGGAAGAAGCAAACTTTTTGTAATGATTTTCAGAGTATTAATGTAAAGTGAGACGCTGGTCAAACGTCACAGGCGTAGTGACTCAGAGTTCCTGGAATTACCCGTGAAAAGAAAGAATTATTCACATATAAGGTGAAGGGAAAAGATGAATAGGAAGAAAAGTAAACAGCCACCGGTCAGGCATTATTAATTACCTTTTAACCAAATGTATCTGCGGGAATTGATATCCCAAAGGTCTCGCTCGATTTCCGCCTTGTAACAGTGTGCACTTAGTTTTCTTTAGTGATCAAAGATTATTGATTCTCTTTTAAATTTGCAATACTCTAATACGTATAGACGAAAATTCTAAGTAGTACAAGTAAAAGCTTAAAATATCTTACTCGTGTCACCGCATAAAGCCCCTGTATACCCCGAAGCACATGTACATGCATCCGTATCACAACTCCCTCCATTCAGACACGGGTTGTTCCCAAGACAGTCGACTACAGACATAAGAGAAAGTATCCGTTAATTCAGGAAGAAATTTTACATTCACCGTTCACGTGGAAATGCGTAGATGACGAGAATAAAACACAAAATAGTATGCGATTATTTACACATAATTTAATATTGATGTATTAAATATTGTCAAATAACAAAGTAGGTAGGCTTTCTTCCCATCTTTGTACCACTCGTTGTTTCGGGGTCGGCAGTCGAAATTAGAATGTTTGCTTCAAAATATAAAGAGACGTTCAATGCATGATATGAGCGTTTCATGGCTTCAATCATCTTGATCATTGAGTAACCATTAACTTCCTTTAACGCTAAATATTATTCGTCGTTTACGATGAATCCCAATAGAATTATCGCACATTACAATATATTTCAATACCTGTGCTACACAAAGCTCCATTAAATCCCGCAGCACATGTACATGCATCGGTATCACAGGTACCTCCGTTCAGACACGGGTTGTCACCAGAACAGTCAACTACAGAGAGGAGAGAAAATATCCCTCAATTGAATATTTCACTCATTTGCATATTTATGGTAATTTATGCACATAAGGTCATAACATTCACATTTTTACCCATGAATCATATATTCTTCGTATTTGAGCATTTTTATTTTCTTCATATATTCGTTAGAACATTTGGAATAATAATAAGACAACAAAAATGGAAGAGCCAGGTTATTCCTTATGTTATATCTCGTTTTGATAATTTCTTATGTATTTCATTGTTTTGTAACATATGTATTTTATTGTTTATGTTTTTTTATTTCATTTTAACTACAATTCAACTATTTAAACCCCAAAACAAACACCTAAGCTCTTAAACGAGACCAAATAACCAATGTTTTATCTCTTTTTAGGAAAAATGATATTTCCATATGTTTTGTACACAAATCACAAAAATGAGCGAATTTCGGGCCGACATGCAAAGACAAAAGGTCACGTGACTTTGTTACTATACGTCCGATTTTCAAAAAAAAATATTTAGAAAGATGCGTAAGACTCGAAAGAAATAATTCATGAAAGGAAAATTGTTATATCTGCCGCGGTTCTGGAGTAGTCGCTAAATTACTACAGGCGGGGGGACCCCCTGGTCAAAATGGGGTTAAACCAAAATCTTATTTGATGAATTAGATGAATCTCTAGCATTTAATTTATGTTACAACAATTTGTATACCTGTACCACACAAAGCTCCATTATATCCCGCAGCACATGTACAGGCATTTTCTTCACAGCTACCTCCGTTCTGACATGGGTTGTCACCAGAACAGTCAACTACAAAGAGAGAAAATATCCTACAATTGATGACGAATATTTACATTCATCGTTCACGTGGAAATGCATGAATGACGAGAATACAATATTCGTATCAGTCAGGGTACACACAATCATTGAGATCTCTAAAATATCTAAAAGAATCACTTGTGCCCTTAAGACCACTAAGTCGAATCCCCCACCCCACCCCCCCCCCACACACACACACACACACACGCACACACCTAAACAAAATTGGCTGACTTAAAAGAATATAATCACGTCAGGAGATTATGAGAACATTCAGTATATTTTATTAAGTGAGATAAATGTCATATTTTTGGGGACGAAATGCGTGTTATACCTAACCCTGTATCATTGAACGTACAAATTTTGATATATGTTTATACCTCTGTCACACACAGATCCAGTAAATCCCTGAGCACATGAACATACGTTGGTCGGAGTCTCACAGGTACCTCCGTTCACACATGGGTCGCTAGAAGTACAGACAACTACAAAGTGAAGATAAAATAATACCAAACGAAACATTCACATTTAGAATATCTATTTTACAGTCACGCTTGGTTAACAATCTTATATTAAAAATAATTTATTTTTATTTTTATTGTAGATTTATCAAACTGCAGGGGGTATCAATGACCTGCTTATCCTCGGTTTTAAAAGCATTGTGTATTAATTTTTCCAGTTTTAAGATCTGAGATGCATGGCCCTATGTGCTTTTAGTGTCTGTGATCATCCATGCTGTGATATGGTGTAGTATTGAAGCCCTAAAAAAAGCGCTTCAAAATGATCGTGAAGTGCTTCACTAAAGTACAAATCTTTGAGTGACCGGTTTTACCCTACTCATTTTCCCCAGTGGACTGCAGTGTAAAAAAAATTGTTGGGAAAACGTTTTTGAAATTTCGATTTCCAATCATAAATATCTTGATAATCAGACAGGGGATCGGCTTGTAAGATTCATGGTATTCCTGACTGACCTAATGGTTTATAAGTATGATTGCAGCATGAGCTAAATCCAGGATTTTCTTTTAGAATCTAAGGCAAAGATACACAATCCCTTTCAGCGGCGCAGGAATGATGGGAATGGGATCGGTTATCAAACCATTAAACAGAATATGTTGTAGAGATGACTTTGAATATGTGTGTTTATCATGTAAGAAGACTATTTGTATGCTGTGCAAAGGCGTGAGTATTATTGTAACAACATTTAACATAGAGAGAGATGATGCAATGAGTCGGAGGTTTTGGATTACCCCTGAAAAGGAAGCCTTATTCACATATAAGATGAAGGGAAAGGTTGAATAGGAAGAAAAGTAAACCACCGTCAGACATTTCGAAAGAAACACAGTTTTAATATCTGGTCCTGGTAGGAAGAGAAATTTTCAACTAATCAGGTGCAAGTTACAAAATGAAGGACCACGCACGAGCCAATAACGTTTGTTCGGGGCATAGACTTAAAACTAATTCTAAGAATATTAGTCACCCGAAATTTTGACCAAAGGGTCAAAGGTGGAAAATTATTATAAAATAACTGCAAATCCGATTCCCATTCGAAAGCTTTTGCGATTTGAAGTAGGTATACTACACAGAGTAATACAAGTTATTAACCAGAATACATGTACTATATTCAGTACTCTAGGTGAGTACAACAAAGGTGTTCTCGAAAACAATCTGATAGTCCAGGTGTTATTCTCTTTGGACAAATTGAATCAGTGTAAATCTTTCAAACCAACGGGAAGTTGTGAGTACACATTGTGTATCTTACATATGGCTATAAGTTATGTATTTTGATTGCGTTATGACATATGTACACTGAATTGTTATGTGCTCAATATAGGTGTAATATTATATTTTAACTGAAATTGCTTTAGTGTGTTTGAGGTGATACCATTTTTACGATTATTAATCATGATTATTGGTATAAATCATTATATGCTCTAGAAACATAATAAAGGGATATTCGAGAAAGTAACTGATTTTTGTATTAATAGTAATCAATTACAAATACTCAGTACATCAGAAGTTCAGAGATTCTCATATTATATTTATATGATGTTGGAAATCAAAATACAATCATAGAGTGAACAAATCACTAGAAATGAACTGTCAACCGAACTAAGAGACAGGATGAAACCATTGGTCTCGGTCCATCTATCCATCCGCAGGGGCTAACGTCAGACGGACAAGTCTTTGTTAGGATACTCCGAAAGCAAGAGACACCTAAACCAGGAAGCTGTAATGAATGGAGATACCGTCTCGAAAGAATTTTCCGAGGGAAAATATTCAAGATTAACCTGGCTTAACAAAAAGAAATGTAATCCTCTCCAACCATCATTTCCATCAACAGCTGTCCATATCAATGCACAGTCCCTCTCTGGAATTCCAAATAGTACGAAATGTTACGCAACGCCATCTGCTTCCCTAATTTCTCTATTCACTCTTTTGCAAATATATGCAAGCATCGAGCTTTGAAGCCATGCGTGGCACCGAAAAATTAAGTCATGTTCAGTGAAGATGTATTTAGCTATAACATATAAAATACAGAATTAACAACATAAGACCAATGCAACTTTATATTGGTCATCAAATGCTTTTTCCGTTCTCGGATAGCTCTACTAAAGACATGGCCATTTCAGCCAGCGAAATCGACCAAGGAAATCGTGAGTTAGAGCGAATGAAAGGTTTTCATCATCATGATTTTCTCATCTAATTATTGACATTTTCCGAAAATTTCCGAAATTTGTACATAGCTCGGAAGGTAGTCTAAAGGTTTATCTTCCTAAAGAACTAAATGAAATTGTGTTATATGTTTGCGCATTTATTGATTGAGGGCTAGAAGTTGTCAAGTTATCACCACTATTTACCCCAAATACGGGCCCACAAAGCAAAAGCCGCCGTGCTCGCTGGGCTGGGCTGTGTGTGGAAAGGGAGGACCTAGTGCTACTAGGGAGCTGTACGGTTTCGGAGGGGGATTAAGGGGATTACGGTAGGGGAAACAAAAGACGCGCGGTGCCACGGATGGCTTCAAAGGGGCCTCTTGGACGGGATCTCCATTCATTACAGCTTCCTGCCTAAACTAAAGACCTAACTGATGACTACCTTAGTCACCGAATCATGTTAATCTTATATTTAAGTATTATATGGTTGTAAGTTATTTATATATTCTTTTGTAAACTTTGCCTACAACTTTTGCATTAGTGAAGTTGAACTTTATGTAAATGTCTGTGTGCATTAATTAGATCACAGACCCAGACAATTTATTTTCATTTACAATACTCTAATACAACAATACATTTCAAAAGGTGTCAATGTATTTATAAACAAAAATGAGAAATCCTAACTAGATCTTACTGGCGTCACTGCACAGAGATCCACTAAAACCCTCTGCACATGTACATGCATCGTTCTCACAGGTACCTCCGTTCCCACATGGGTTGATACCAGAACAGTCAACTACAAAGAGAGAACATATCTTAAAGTTTATTGACGAATCTTTCAATTCACCGTTCACGTGGAAATGCTGAATGCATGAATATAAAATATAAAAAATATTCAATTACTGTCGTATCAGCCAGTCATAGTAGCGTACAAAAATATCAATGCGATGAATCAAAGTTTGGAATTTGAGAAAGAGGCATTTCAAATCGTCAAAGTAGAGGGGGGTATTTAAGTAAGAATGGTGATGTCGAAATACATAGTGGTGATGTCGATATGCAAAGAGGTTAAAGTTAAGATATGACGCATTATGGCTTAAATCTTACAATCTTCATGGTAAATATTATGTTTAAAGCAAAATATTAGATTGACAAATTTGAGGAATCCCGCAGGCACTTAACGTATGCAACAATATATTTCCATACCTGTACTACACAGAGCTCCATTAAATCCCGCTGCACATGTACATGCATTGTTCTCACAGGTACCTCCGTTCATACATGTGTTGCCGCCAGATGCAGAACAGTCAACTAAAGAGAAGAAACAAAATATCCCTCAATTAATAACGAATCTTATCATTCACTGTAAATGTGGAAATTCGAAAAACATGTATAACAAGGATACACAAATTAATTCTTGTTATATCTAGCCAAAGTACACAGAGTCAATATAATATAAAAAAGCTTGAAATTTAAAAACGAAGCGTAAAATGTTGTCAAAGTAGACTGTGTGTAGAATGATAATCTCGAAATAAATTAAGAGGTTTTAGTCAAAATATGACCGGATGTTTCAAACGGTATTCTTACCTGTACTACACAGAGCTCCATTGAATTCCACAGCACATGTACATGCATTGTTTTCACAGGTACCTCCGTTCATACATGGGTTGCCGCCAGAAGCTGAACAGTCAACTACAAGGAGGAAACAAAATATCCTTAAATAATAACGAATCTTTACAATAATAACGAGGATACAAAATACAATTCTTGTTTTATCTAGCTAGTGTACACACAATCAAAATAAAATTTTAGAGCTTGGAATCAAGAACGAAGCGTAACAGACTGTCATAGTAAACCCGTAAGTATAATGAGAATCTCGAAACAAATTAAGAAATGAAAACCACAATGTGAACGGATGTAACAATAGATTTTCTCACCTGTACTACACAGAGCTCCATTAAATTCCGCAGCACATGTACATGCATTGTTCTCACAAGTACCTCCGTTCATACATGGGTTGCCGCCAGATGCAGAACAGTCAACTACAGAAAGGAAACAAAATATCCTTAAATTAATAACGGATCTTTATATGAATGAAAAGTATAGCAAATTAAATTTTTGTTTCATTTAGCCGGAGTACACACAATCAATATGATACATACAACCTTGGAATTTAAAAACGAAGAGTAAAAGATTGTCGAAGTAGACTGTGGGTAGAATGATTATCTCTAAATTAATTAAGAGGTTGAAGTCAAAATAGAAAGGATGTCAAAATAGATTTTCTTACCTGTACTACAAAGTGCTCCATTAAATTCTGCAGCACATGTACATGCATTGTTCCCACAGGTACCTCCGTTCATACATGGGTTGCCGCCGGAAGCAGAACAGTCAACTACACAAAGGAAACAAAATATCCTCAAATTACGGTAACGGATATTTACATTCACTGTTCATGTGAAAATGTGAAAATGAGACACACATATGAATGAGGAGGGTACAATTTTATTTTTTTTTATTCAGAAAGTGTAGACACAATAAATACAATATCTAAAACCTTGGAATTTAAGAACAAATCTTAAAAGATTGTCAAAATAAACTGTGAGTTGAATGATAATCTTGAAATAAATTAAGAGGGTAAATCCACGATATGAATAGATGTCACAATAGATTTCTCACCTGTACTACAAAGAGCTCCATTAAATTCCGCAGCACATGTACATTCATTGTTCTCACAGGTACCTCCATTCTGACAGGGGTTGTCACCAGAACAGCCGGCTACAGAGAGGAGAGAAATTATCCTTTAACAAGTAATGATTTTTTACATTCACCGTCCTCAAAAGCAACGTTCCAAAGCTTGAATTTAAACAAAAATGAATAAGTTTCAAATTAAAAAGTAACAAGACTTTTTCCCCTTTATCCATACAATAACCTTTTTTTAGGGGGATGTAATTTAGAATGAAAATCTCGAAATTATTCAGAGGGTTAAGTCACGTTAAATGCCCGTGACAGGGCAACAATCTTTTTTTAAAGTAAACAAACTCGATTAATCCCGATAGCAATTATCATATGTCACTAGACTATAGATTTCCATACCTGTACTACACAAGGCTCCAATAAATGTCCCAGCACATGTACATGCATTGTTCTCACATGTACCTGCGTTCATACATGGGTTGCCGCCAGAAGCAGAACAGTCAACTACAGAGTGGAAAGAAAAATTAATATCCTGAAATTAATGACGAATGTTTACCTATATCGTTCATATAAAAAATACGTGAAAAAACGAGGTTCAGTTATTACAATGATACCAGGCAGGGTACACAATTCAAGAATGATGTATTAAACATTTACAAAGTAGGTAGGCTTTCCCCTTATTTACACTATTGTCTTTCCAGAGTATTTAGTTTGAATGTTGTATCAATTAATTTTAAGAGGTTAAAGTCACAATATAAACGGATGTTATAATAGATTCTCTCACCTGTACTACACAGAGCTCCATTAAATTCTGCAGCACATGTACATGCATTGTTCTCACAGGTACCTTCGTTCATACATGGGCTGCCGCCGGAAGCAGAACAGTCAACTACACAGAGGAAACAAAATATTCCTAAATTAATAACGAATCTTAACATTCACTGTTCATGTGGGAATGCAAAATACGTGAATGACGAGGATACACAATCAAATCAAATTCGTGTTATATTTAGCTAGTGGACAGAAAATTAATCTATTATCAAAAAGATTGGAATTTAAGAACGAAGAATTTAAAAAAAATGGATAAGTCCACTGTGAGACCAAAACTATAAAAAGAAGGTAAAAGACGGATTTGACGGATTTGATACTTACAAATATCCAATTGATATAGGAATAATTCAAAAAAAAAAAAATTCTGCTCCAAACAAAGATCTAAAAGGTCATACAAAAAAGATTTTTCCAAAGACGTACTCGCACAAAATTAGCTGGCCACTTTTTCTCCAATCGAGTGGTCCAATCCTGGAACAGCTTACCTCATAACAAAGTATCTGCACCCACTGTGGCTACTTCTAAGAGAAACTGAGAGCCCTTCCCATAGGACAAGAGGGCTAATCAACCAAGTATAACAAGTAAACCACGTAAGTAAGAGTAGAATGATAATCTCGAATTTAAATAAGATCCTGCGAAAGGCGACAGACGTGAAAGTCACAATATTACAGCGGCAAAGTAATGGCAAAAGGGGGAACCAAGATTCGCTGACGGTTGGGAACGACCTTCAGCGACAACACGACGGCAAGGGACGAATGGCTGCGGCAGGGAACGGAGTCTAGCGACAAAAATCGGACGTTGTCTGGGCGGTGAGTGATGATGTCTCGACGGAGCCCGGCAACAAGGAACGAGATCAGACGGCTGGCAGTGGATTGGCTGGCAGCAAGGAACAGCGGCTGACGGCGGGTTGCGGCGAGGCATATTGCAGCCTGACCCTAGCTCCGTCCCCCATGATGACGAAACAGCTTTGACAAAGAACAGGGGACATTTTCTTTTTATATGAACTTCAAAATCGCATCGTGCCGGACATCCTATTGAAATCAAACTGAAGCAAAAAAAAGTTTAAAATTGTGGACCATCGTTGCAAAATTGTGACCGTTCGCAGACCACCATTGCAAGTACACGCGAACGACCCGCCATCAACATTCATCACCCGTCACCCTCCCGCCAAGATTCGCAATCTATCGTCGCACCAAGGTCGTTAATAGAATTTCGTTACTTACCGCAATGTGTCGTCAGAGTTCCAGATTTGCCGCCAATAGGGACTTTTAGATTTACAAGACGAGAACGTGTGACATCCTTTTAAGGTAATGTGACGTCCTTTAAAGGCACTGCTGGGCACGTCCCAGTGCCTTAACACAATGTCACACTCGGCAGTCCACGCTCTCGTCGTGTAAATCTAAAAGTCCCTAATGATCGTTGGCGAAGACTACCATCAAAATTGTGACGACCTCAAAACGACTAGAGACGGAATCGCACAGGGTGGAAACGTCAAGGAAATAAGGGTTGCGGTCTCTAACGAAATCTGAACGGAATCACAACGAATTTTGTTTGCCGCCTCAAAATTTTCAACATGCTGAAAATTTGCCGACGGACGCGACTGATAATTTCGGCCGTCGGCGGTCGCAAGCAGATCGTCAACGACAATTGAAGGCAACACACGATAATTGGCAGGAAATTCAAAATTGTAATTCGGAGTTGGTCACTTTTTTCTCAAATCGTGTGGTCCAACCCTGGAACAACTTACCTCATAACATAGTGGCTGTACCAACTGTGGCTACTTTAAAGAGGAAACTGAGAGCACGACAAGAGGGCTAATCAACCAAGTATACCAAGTATATAAGAATAGAATGATGATCTCGAAATATAAATTAGAGGTTAAAGTCACAATATGAACGGGTGTTACTGTAGATTTTCTCACCTGTACTGCAAAGAGCTCCATTAAATTCCGCTGCACATGTACATGCATTGTTTTCACAGGTACCTCCGTTCATACATGGGTTGCCGCCAGAGGCAGAACAGTCAACTACAGAAAGGACAGAGATATCCTTAAATAAGTAACGAATCTTTACATTCACTGTCCATGTGGAATTGGGGAATACATGAATGACGAGGATACATATTAAATTCTTGCTTTATTAGGCTAGTGTACACACAATCAATGTGATATCTAAAATCTACGATTTTAAGAACGAAGCGTTAAAGCTTGTCTAAGTAGACTGTGAGTTCAATGATAAACTCGAAATAAATTAAGAAGTCACAATATATGAAGGGTTGTTATAATGATTTTCTCACCTGTACTACACAGAGCTCCATTGAATCCCGCAGCACATGTACATGCATTGTTTTCACAGGTACCTCCGTTCATACATGGGTTGCCGCCAGATGCAGAACAGTCAACTACAGAGAGGAAACAAAATATCCCTCAATTGATAACGAATCTTTCATTCACTGTTCATGTGAAAATGTGAAATACATTAATGAAAAGGATAAAAAAAAAATTCTTGTTATGTTCAGCCAGTGTACACAAAATCTATAAAATATATAAAAGCTCGGAATTTAAGATCGAACGAAGCTTAAAAGATTGTCGGACCAGACTGGGAGTAAAATGATAATCTCAAAATGAATAAAAAGGTAAAAGTCACAAAAGAAACGGATGTTACAATGTATTTTTTCACCTGTACTACACAGGGCTCCATTAAATTCCGCAGCACATATACATGCGTTGTTCTCACAGGTTCCTCCGTTTATACATGGGTTGCCGCCAGACGCAGAACAGTCAACTACAGAGAGGAAACAAAATATCTTTGAATAAATAACGAATCTTTAAATGAATAACGAGGATACAGAATGAAATTATTGTTATATTTAGGCAGTTTAAACACAATAAAAATAATATCTGAGAGCTTTTAATTTAAGAACGAAGTGCAAAAGATTATCATAGTAGACCCGTGAGTAGAATGATAGTCTCAAAATAAATTAAGAGGTTTAAGTCACAGTTTGAACGGATGTTACAAAAGATTATCTCACCTGAACTACACAGAGCTCCATTAAATCCCACTGCACATGTACATGCATTGTTCTCACAGGTACCTCCGTTCATACATGGGTTGCCGCCAGAAGCAGAACAGTCAACTAAAGAGAGGAAACAAAATATCCCTTAACTGAAAACGGATCTTTACATTCACTGTTCATGTGGAAATGTAAACTACAGGAATAAGAAGGATAACTTCTTGTTATATTCAGCCAGTGTACACACAATATATATAATATATAACAGCTCGGAATTTAAGTTCGAACGAAGTTAAATGATTGCCTGAGCAGACTGGAAGTAAAATGACAATCTCAAAATGAATTGAGAGGTTTAAGTCACAAGAAAAACGAAAGTTACAATAGATTCTCTCACCTAAACTACACAGAGCTCCATTAAATTCTGCAGCACATGTACATGCATTGTTCTCACAGGTACCTCCGTTCATACATGGGTTGCCGCCAGATGCAGAACAGTCAACTACAGAGAAGAAATAAAATATACTTAAATAAAATCCGAATCTTTACATTCACTGTTCGTGTGAAAATGCGACACATTTAAATGACGAGAATACACACACAAATTATATTCAGAAGGTGTACGCACAATCAATACAATATCTAAAACCTTGGAATTCATGAACAAATCGTTAAAGATTGTCAAAGTAGACTGTGAATAAAATGATAATCTTGAAATAAATTAAGAGGGTAATGTTACAATATGAATGGATGTCAAAATAGAATTCTCACCTGTACTACACAGAGCTCCATTAAATTCTGCCTCACATGTACATTCATTGTTCTCACATGTACCTCCATTCTGACAGGGGTTGTCATCAGAACAGCCGGCTACAGAGAGGAGAGAAATTATCTTTTAACAAGTGACGAATTTTTACATTCACCGTTCTCGAAAGCAACGTTCCAAAGCTTGGAATTAAACAAAAATACACTAGAGAGTGTCAAATTAGAAATTAAGAAGACTTTTTCCCTTTTATCAATACAGTAACTTTTTTAGGGGGGTGTAATTTAGAATGAATATCTCGAAATAGTGTAAAGTCATGATAGATGCGCGTGACATGGCACAATCTTGTCTTTTTAAAGTAACCAATGATATCCTGAAAAGCAAAATATTGTTTAACAAACACTTTTAATCCCGATAGCAATTATCGTATGTCACTATGGATTTCCATACCTGTACTACACAAGGCTCCAATAAATGTCCCGGCACATGTACATGCATTGTTCTCACAGGTGCCTGCGTTCATACATGGGTTGCCGCCAGAAGCAGAACAGTCAACTACAGAGAGGAAACAAAAATTAATATCCTCAAATGAATGATGAATGTTTACCTATATTGTTCATATGAATATACGTGAAAGACGAGGATCAGTTATTACAATGATACCAGGCATTGTACACAATTTACGAATGATGTATTAAACATTGTCAAACTACAAAGTAGGTAGGCTTCCCCCTTATTTACACTACTGGTTTTCAGAGGTTTTTAGTGAGAATTTTGTATCGATATTGAGAGGTTAAAGTCACAATATAAACGGATGTTACTCTAGATTTTTCTCACCTGTACTACAAAGAGCTCCATCAAATTCTGCAGCACATGTACATGCATTGTTCTCACAGGTACCTCCGTTCATACATGGGTTGCCGCCAGAAGCAGAGCAGTCAACTACAGAGAAGAAACAAAATATATTCAAACTAAGGTAACGGATATTTTCATTCACTGTTTAAGGGAAAAGGCGAAATACATTGACACACAATCAATATACAATCTAAAAGCCTTGAATTAAAGGGATCCGGTAACTTTGTCTCAGATTCTGAAACAAAATTCTGGATTTAGCTCATGCTGCAATGATAATTATAAACCTTTAGGTCAGTCAGGAACCCCATGGCTTTTACAAGCCAATCGTCTGTCTGATTATCAAGATATTTATGATTGGAATTACAAATTTTGAAAACCGTTTGCCAAACGGTTTTCATAACACTATAGTCTTTTCGGGAAACGAGTATGGTAAAACCGGTCACTCAAAAATTTTACTTTTTTGAGGCACTTCTTGATCATTTAGAAGCGCATTTTTTTCAGGGCTTCCATATTACACCATATCACAGACACTGATATCACGTAGAGCCGTGTATCTCAGATTTAGCATTGTTAAACGATCCCTTTAAAGGAAGAAGCCTAATCGATTGTAAAGTTAGACCGTGAGTAGAATGATAATTCCCGAAAGTTAACTATCAAAACACGATATTAACGAATGTTACTTTAGATTGTATCACCTGTACTACACAGAGCTCCATTAAATTCTGCAGCACATGTACATGCATTGTTCTCACAGGTACCTCCGTTCATACAAGGGTTGCCGCCAGATGCAGAACAGTCAACTACAGAGAGGAACAACATATCCTTAATTATTTAACGAATCTTATCATTCACTGTTAATGTTGAAATGCAAAATACATGAATAACGAAGATACATAATTAGATTCTTGTTATATTAAGCTAGTGTACAGACATTCAATATGAAACAAAAAAAATTAAATTTAAGAAAGAAGCGTAAAAGATTGTCAAAATCGATTTTGAGTAAATGATATAATCTCGAAATAAATTAAGAGGTTCAAGTCACAATAAAAACGGATGTTACAGACGATATTCTTACCTGTACTACACAGAGCTCCATCGAATTCTGCAGCACATGTACATGCATTGTTCTCACAGGTACCTCCGTTCACACATGGGTTGCCGCCGGAAGCAGAACAGTCAACTACACAGAGGAAACAAAATATCCTTAAATTAATAACGATTCTTTATATTCGCTGTTCATGTGGAATTGCGAAAACACATGAATGACGAGGATACAAAATTAAATTCTTGTTACATCCGGCCAATGTACACACAATCAATATAAAACATAGAGGCTTTAAATTTAGGAATGCAGCGTAAAAGATTGTCAAAGTAGACTATGAGTGGAATTAAAATCTCGAAAGGATAAAGAAGTTAAATTCATAATATGAACAAATGTTACAATAGATTTTCTCACCGGCACTACAAAGAACTCCATTAAATTCTGCAGCACATGTACATGCATTGTTCTCACAAGTACCTCCGTTCATACATGGGTTGCCGCCAGAAGAAGAACAGTCAACTACAGAGAGGGAAAAATTATCGTTAAATAAATGACGAATCTTTAAATGATTGACGAGGATACACAATTAATTTATTTGTATATATCAATATAATGTCTGAGAGATTGGATTTAAAAAACGAGGTGTAACAGATTGTCATAGTCGATCTCGAAATAAATTAGGAGGTAAAAGTCAATATATGAAGGAATGTTACAATAGATTTTCTCACCTATACTACACAGCGCTCCATTGAATTCTGCAGCACATGTACATGCATTGTTCTCACAGGTACCTCCGTTCATACATGGGTTGCCACCAGATGTGGAACAGTCAACTACATAGAGGAAACAAAATACCCTTCAATTAATAACGAATCTTTATATGAGTAACGAAAATACACAATTAATTTATTCGTATATCTAGTCAGTGTACACAATATTAATATGATATCTAAGAGATTGGATTTTGAGAACAAAGCTTAAAAGAATGTCAACATAGACTGAGTAGAATTATAATCTCGAAATAGATTAGGAGGTAAAAGTTACAATATGAACGGATGTTACAATAGACGCTATTACCTGCACTACACAGAGCTCCATTAAATTCCGCAGCACATGTACATGCATTGTTCTCACAGGTACCTCCGTTCATACATGGGTTGCCGCCAGAAGCAGAACAGTCAACTACAGAGAGGAAACAAAATATTCCTAAATTAATAACGAATTTTAACATTCACTGTTCATGTTGAAATGCAAAATACGTGAATGACGAGGACACACAATCAAATCAAATTCGTGTTATATTTAGCTAGTGGACACACAATTAATCTATTATCAAAACGTTTAGAATTTAAGAACGAAGTATAAAAAGTAGAAAAGTAGACTGTGACACCAAGACTAAGATAGAATCTTTACAGGATAGGAGACAGAAGATGGATTTGATCGATACTTACAAATATCTCAATGACATATATAGGAATAATTCAGAAAATTTCTTCTTTGCTTCAAATAAAGATCTATGAGTCATACAAAAAAAGCTTTTCCAAAGACGTACTCGCAAAAAATTAACTGTCCACTTGTTCTCAAATCGAGTGGTGCAACCCTGGAACAGCTTACCTCATAGTGTCTGTACCCACTGTTGCTACTTTTAAGAGGAAACTGAGAGCCCGACAAGAGGGTTAACCAACCAAGTATACCAAGAAGGTAAGAGTAGAATGATAATCTCGAAATTCAAATAAGAGGTTAAAGTCACAATATAAATGGATGTTACAAAAGACGTTCTCACCTGTACTACATAGAGCTCCATCAAATTCCGCAGCACATGTACATGCATCGTTCTCACAAGTACCTCCGTTCATACATGGGTTACCGCCAGATGCAGAACAGTCAACTACAGAAAGAAAACAAAATATTATTAGATTAATAACGAATCTTTACACACCCAAAATATCATTGAATAAGTAACGAATCTTTACATGAATAACGAGGATGCAGAATTAAATGTTTGCTTTATTTGGCTAATGTACACACAATCAATATAATATATAAAAGCTTGGAATTTAAGAACGATGCGTTAAAGATTATCTAAGTAGACTGTGAGTAGAATGATCAACTCGAAATGAATTAAGAGGTTTAAGTCACAATATGAACGGTTGTTACAATGATTTTCTCACCTGTACTACAAAGAGCTCCATCAAATTCCGCAGCACATGTACATGCATTGTTCTCACAGGTACCTCCGTTCATACATGGGTTGCCGCCTGATGCAGAACAGTCAACTACGGAAAGAAAACAAAGTATTCTTAGATTAAATGTCTAAAAACTAGGAATTTAAGATCGCAGACTAAAAGATTGTAAAAGTAAGATGTGAATAGAATTATCATCTCAAAAAATTAAGAGGTTAAAGTCACAATATGAACGGATGTTAAATTATATTTTCTCACCAGTACTACACAGAGCTCCATCAAATTCCACGGCACATGTACATGCATTGTTTTCACAGGTACCTCCGTTCAAACATGGGTTGCCGCCAGACGCAGAACAGTCAACTACAGAGAGGAAACAAAATATCCTTGAATAAATAACGAATCTTTACATTAATAACGAGGATGCAGAATTAAATTAATGTTATATTAAAGCAGTGAACACACAATCAAAATTATATATGAGAGTGTGGAATTTAAGAACGAAGCGCAAAAGATTGTCATAGCAGACCCGTGAGTAGAATGATGATCTCGAAATAATTTAAGAGGTAAAAGTCACAATCCTTCTCGCTTTGGACGTGGTCTCCTCAAGTCTGAACGGCACCGTGACATGCTACCTGCTACTCGTCAATGTGTCTCTCACCGCAGTTCAACACTTTTAAGTGCTCATCTACTAGACCTACAGCGTTGTAAAACCCAACGATATAGGAACTCTGCAATCCCGTTTTTAACACGAATGCTCAATTCTTCCATGTAGTTTTAGCTTTTTACCCCGTGAATGCCTATTATAGGTCTACATGTTTTTATTTAATTACGTGATAGATATACATGTGCCCTGAATATACACGTGGCTTAAATTTCTTAAATATATTTATTTTTTGATACTCATGTTCCTATATATATTAATGAAACAACTTTATTCCGTTTACATGGTTAATGCACCCAATTCAATCTTTTAATTCATAGTATATATATATATATATATATATATTTATAGTACAACAATGCCAGAATGAGACACTGCGTTTAATGTTGTTATTTGTTTACACTTTTTTACACATTATTTACACACGCTTGTTTCTTTAGATCTTCTGCAGGTGCCCATCTCATTTCTTAATTTCCAACTTTCTTCATCTTTGCTAGTAGAATTGTTTATTTTTAAAACATGTAAATCCCATATTATCACCATTACGTTTTATCTATCAATTTATGTTAATTGTGTTTAAAATGTAAATGTTCAAAATCTAAATGTTACGAGAAAAGGAAATTAAATACTTTATCCATTCTCACTTTGTTATCTTCTTTTTTCCCAAATCATCCATGTATGTAAATTCGATTTATTTTATGTCTGATGTGCAATATATTGAAGTTTCCATTACTATTATTGTTAATTTATTCCTTGAACTAATTTGTAATCGTTTCTCTATTGATGTACATGTATTTTTAATTTCTCCGTATTTCTTTGAGCTTTGTAATCTTTGTTGTATCAGTCTCCTGACTGTTTTAACATGGAATTTTGACACAATAAAACCGAAATGAATGAATGAATGAAAAAATATGAACGGATATTACAACAGATTCTCTCACCTGAACTACACAGAGCTCCATTAAATTCCGCAGCACATGTGCATGCATTGTCCTCACAGGTGCCTGCGTTCATACATGGGTTGCCGCCAGAAGCAGAACAGTCAACTACAGAAAGGAAACAAAATATCCTTGAATAAATAACGAATCTTTACATGCATAACGAGGATGCAGAATTAAAGTTTTGTTATATTCAGCCGGTGTACATACAATTAATATAATATATAAAAGCTTGAAATTCATGATCGTACGAAGCTTAAACGATTGTTAAAGTAGACTGCGAGTAGAAGGATAATCTCGAAATGAATTAAGAGGGTAAAGTCACAATATGGATTGATGTCACAATAGATATACTCACCTGTACTACACAGAGCTCCATTGAATTCTGCAGCACATGTACATGCATTGTTCTCACAGGTACCTCCGTTCATACATGGGTTGCCGCCAGATGCAGAACAATCAACTACAGAGAGGAAACAAAACATCCATAAATCAATAACGAATCTTTAAATTCACTGCTAATGTGGAAATACGAATTACACGAATGACGAGAATACAAAATAATTTTCTTTTTGTTAGCCAGTGTACACACAATCAATATAATATCTAAAACCTTGGAATTTAGGAACAAATCGTACAATATTTCAAAAGTAGCCTGTGAGTAGAATGATAACCTTGAAATAAATAAAGAGGTTAAAGTCTCTTAATATGAATGGATGTCACAATAGATTTTCTCACCTGTACTACAAAGAGCTCCATTAAATTCCGCAGCACATGTACATTCATTGTTCTCACAGGTACCTCCATTCTGACAGGGGTTGTCGACAGAACAGCCGGCTACAGAGAGGAGAGAAATTATTCTTTTAACAAGTGACAATCTTTACATTCATCGTTCTCAAAAGCCACGTTCCAAAGATTTGAATTAAGCAAAAAATGAATGAGAGAGTGTCAAATTAGAAAGTAAGAAGACCCTTTCCCCTTTTTCCGTACAGAAACCTTTTTTTTACGGGTATGTTAATTAGAATGAAGTTATCGAAATTATTTCAGAGTATAAATTCACGATAGATGCGCGTGACAGGGCAACAATCTTGTCTTTTTTGAGTAACCAACGATACCTTTAAAAGCAAAATATTGTTTAACAAACACGTTTAATCTCGATAGCAATTATCGTATGTCACTATGGATTTCCATACCTGTACTACACAAGGCTCCAATAAATGTCCCAGCACATGTACATGCATTGTTCTCACAGGTACCTGCGTTCATACATGGGTTGCCGCCAGAAGCAGAACAGTCAACTACAGAGAGGAAACAAAAATTAATATCCTCAAATGAATGATGAATGTTTACCTATATCGTTGATATAAAAATACGTGAAAGACAAGGATCAGTTATAACAATGATACCAGGCATTGTACACAATTTACGAATGATGTATTAAACATTTACAAAGTAGCTAGGCTTCCCCCTTATTTACACTACTGGTTTTCAGAGGTTTTAGTGAGAATTTTGTATCGATATTAAGAGGTTAAAGTCACAATATAAACAGATGTTACTCTAGATTTTTCTCACCTGTACTACAAAGAGCTCCATCAAATTCTGCAGCACATGTACATGCATTGTTCTCACAGGTACCTCCGTTCAAACATGGGTTGCCGCCAGAAGCAGAACAGTCAACTACAGAGAAGAAACAAAATATATTCAAACTAAGGTAACGGATATTTTCATTCACTGTTTAAGGGAAAAGGCGAAATACATTGACACACAATCAATATACAATCTAAAAGCCTTGAATTAAAGGGATCCGGTAACTTTGTCTCAGATTCTGAAACAAAATTCTGGATTTAGCTCAAGCTGCAATGATAATTATAAACCTTTAGGTCAGTCAGGAACCCCATGACTTTTACAAGCCAATCGTCTGTCTGATTATCAAGATATTTATGATTGGAATTACAAATTCTGAAAACCGTTTGCCAAACGGTTTTCATAACACTACAGTCTATTGGGGAAAACGAGTATGGTAAATCCGGTCACTCAAATTTTTTACTTTTTTGAGGCGCTTCTTGATCATTTAGAAGCGCAATTTTTTAGGGCTTCCATATTACACCATATCACAGACACTGATATCACGTAGGGCCGTGTATCTCAGATTTAGCATTGTTAAACGATCCCTTTAAAGAAAGAAGCCTAGTCGATTGTAAAGGTAGACCGTGAGTAGAATGTTTGTTTGTTTGTTTTTATTTCCGTATAAAATCATCACAACATACAAATACATACATAAATGAGATATATGGCGGATAGCCCATTTCAGGCGTATTAACAAAATACGCCTGTTCTTCCATGGGGTCCGGATAAAAAAGCTGTTACATCAAAATCAGATATTTTATACAATGATGGGGAAATTAGATTTATATAAATTCAATGTAAACATTACATTAAACAAAACATAAACGATATAACTGAACATGTATAATATATTTTCGAGTCTAATAGATTCAATTTACATTTATAATTCAAATTCAGTGGATTTTATAAGGGATACAGAACCGCACGAACCCTGAACAAATAAAGTAAAAGGAAAGGAAAGAAAAAGGAAAGAGAGGTAAACAGATTATTGAGCACATTTCTAAGATATTGTGAAAAAAATTGTCAGATTGGATTTGAAATTTTGAATCGTACAAGCACTACGGGTATTAGCTGGTAATTTGTTGTACAATGAAGTTCCTCTGTAATAAAATGTTCTTTTACAATTATTGGTTTTCGGTCTAGGGAGACTTAGATTACCTATAGAACGGAAAAAATACCTGTCTGTTTTGATTGGTATGGGACGTTTGATATATTCAGGAATAAGATTATTTAAAATTGTGTACATCATAATATATATATGTTCTTCTTGGCGGACACTTAGTAATTTCCAATTTAAAACTTCATGGATATGAGAAGTGGAAATATGAGAGTATGGATTGATTTTCAATATGATTCTTCCTGCCCTGTTCTGAAGTTTTTGCAACATATCTAGATATTTTTGGGGGCAGACTGCCAGATTATATCGGTGTAATCAAAATGGGGAAGAATAATTGAGGAATAAACAATTTTTAAAATAGATTCATTTACAGAATGTCTCAGTCTGCCAAGAAAACCTATCATTTTACCAATTTTAGAGCACATTTGTTCAATATGAAAATTCCACTTAAGCTCTTTATCAATAATAATTCCAAGGTATTTTACTGTTTCTACATTTTTAATATACGTATTTTGAATTCTTAAGTTTAAAACATCGTGCCTTGCTAGCATTTGTCTTGTTCCAAAAGACATGCATACAGTTTTAGTACAATTTATTTTCAACTTATTTCTATTCATCCATTTACTCACTTTGGTAAGTTCGGAATTCAAAGTTGTCTCAACAACTTTTGGATCTTTATCAGAGAAATATAAAACAGTATCATCTGCATAAAAGTGAAAAGCACATTTGTCAAATACAGAAGAATGATAATTCCCGAAAGTTAACTATCAAAACACAATATTAACGAATGTTACTTTAGATGTTATCACCTGTACTACACAGAGCTCCATTGAATTCTGCAGCACATGTACATGCATTGTTCTCACAGGTACCTCCGTTCATACATGGGTTACCGCCAGATGCAGAACAGTCAACTACAGAGAGGAAACAACATATCCTTAATTATTTAACGAATCTTATCATTCACTGTTAATGTTGAAATGCAAAATACATAAATAACGAAGACACACAATTAAAATCATTAAATTTATCACAGTAAGTATCATCATCATCATCACATCATCATCATCATCATCATCATCATCACATCATCACAGTAAGTAATACGCTAAGACCCCGCGGGAGGGCATGACGTCTCCGCGAGCCTTTGTATTCTATTGTTTTTTAATGAGATCGCCGACCGAAGTTGGTGCAGCTATCTCCTCCTGAACCCTCCCCTCGGGGTACCGTTGCCCGGTGCCATCGTCCGCGGGAGAGTCTAATCTGTTCGATTGGCTATACTCCGCCCGAGGTCCTCCTCCGTGTCGACGTCCAGGGCGAAAACAGACGCGATATGCATAATGCATGATATGCGTGACGACAGAGATACCTCATGCATATTCAACATTACATCCGTATCAAAGAGACACACGACAGATGACCATCAACTCGCCTAATATGGCGTAGCAAATTTACGATGCAACGGGTCGGGATTACCCCTGAGTAAACCATCTTGCTATAGGATATGCTTTGTAGTAGCTGCACAAGCCATAGAGATACACGGGGCTTCCCGTCCACGTCCAACAAACTTAGAGACCTATTTCCACCATTATTGCTGCGAATTTTATATAGTTTTCGTGAATGGAGGTATGAAATCAAAGCCTTTTTTTGTGATTGTTCTGGCCATGTTTACTGAATTTTGATTATCATTTTTTCACAAGAAAATCATTGGACTGACAGTTCAGTCGCAAGCTGCCTTCAGTCAACACACGTACAGTACACACAGTGCTGCCGCTGTCGGCCGGGAATTTGCCTGAGTGAGCTAGAGTCGAAGAGTATGGGGGCCAAGCAGGCCAATATTCGTACAACTATACAACTAAACATACGTCTATCCATCCATCGAAGAACCCCGTCAACACAACAGCGTGCGGGCGGAAGTGCCATAATTTTGTACACTTATATAGCTATTAAACTATTTGGCCTTTACGTCTACTCAGCCATTGGAGACTAATATTGTCTTATATATCCAGTAATTTACAAGAAAGCATTAAATAAGGTTATGAATTGTATATTTACATTAATAACTCAATATCAACCAGACAGAAGTATGTGACTTTATGCATTGCAAAAAAGTCAGTTGCGTAATGAGTAAAATCGTTTGGGGGGGGGAGGTGCAGAAAAAAATCTGCATCACCATTCACCATTCTTACATGTTACATACAGCCTCCAAGAAACGTTTTTCAAAGTGGGGGGGGGGGGAGAGATCAGTTAGATCGCAGCGAGTTGAGTTGAGGTCACTTATTGGCGTGGGGTCCATACGTAGAGCTGCGTAGTCTTGCGTACCAACTACGCTGGCCTACGTTACTAATTATGCTGAGGGACACAAAGGGGTAAGCAAGATGGACGCCAACAATTCAACATGTTTAATTTTTTTCGCGTACTTCCGGCGTAGAAACTTGACGCAGAAAGTATGCCTTTTTACGCAACACTACGCTACTGTACGCCATGCCTACGCAACAGTACGCTACCCTACGCCAGATCGACAAAGCAGTAAAAGGTTTCCACACAGTAAGCAAACGTAAGCAACCGTAAGCAACCATAATCAAACCTGTACGCCAGCCTACGCATAACCTACGCAGGGACTACAGTGAAGCAACATTTCGCCATTAATACGCAGCCTAATTTCTGCGTAATCTGGACGCCACACTACGCAACTCTACGCAGTTCCACGCAGTTCCATTGTGAAAAAGGCTTAAAGAATAACTACCGGAAGAGTTGGATCGTTTTTTTTTTTTTTATAAATGGCAAATAAAGTTCTTGGTGGTTTTAATTTAGAGAGTCTCTATTTATCTATTTACACCCCCGCCCCCCTCTAGAATCCGCGGAGGTCCGCGGGTCCTGCTAGTCGTGTAATATTAAGCTAGTGTACAGACATTCAATATGAAACAAAAACTTTGAAATTTAAAAAAGGAGCGTAAAAGAATGTCAAAATCGATTGTGAGTAAATGATATAATCTCGAAATAAATTAAGAGGTTCAAGTCACAATAAGAACGGATGTTACAGACGATATTCTTACCTGTACTACACAGAGCTCCATCAAATTCTGCAGCACATGTACATGCATTGTTCTCACAGGTACCTCCGTTCATACATGGGTTGCCGCCGGAAGCAGAACAGTCAACTACACAGAGGAAACAAAATATCCTTAAATTAATAACGATTCTTTATATAACTCAAGAAGTTTGGTGTCAAACCGGAAGATCTCGTGTTCATATACTCTGTGTACATACGACCTATACTTGAGTATGCAGTACCTGTTTGGGGATCAAGTTTAACCCTGCGCCAGTCAGCTGAAATTGAACGAGTACAGAAGAGAGCTCTTCGCATGATTTGTTACCCGACTGACTCTCACTATGATGACCTTCTTCACCAATTTGACATTTCATCTCTTGTTAGCCGACGTGTTGAGATCCTCACGCGATTTGCGAAAGCACTTCTGGGTTCTGTAAGACACCGCGACCTCTTGCCACAACCGCGACATGTGATTACTTGCCGCAGCTTGAGAAACTCCGATCATTTGTCCCTACCACGATGCAGAACCCAGCGCTACAAACAATCGACAGTTCCCTCTCTTGTTCGTTTGCTAAATTTAATTAACTGAAATCTTGTTAACATTGCATTGTCTTTTTTCGAACTCTCTCCCTCTCTCCGTCTCTCTCTCTCTGTCCCTTTCTTTAGCTTTTTCTCTCTTTTTCTCCTTTCCCTCCTCACCTCTCCCACCTTTTCTCTATTTCTGTCTTGTATTTCCTCTTCTCGATTTTCTGACAATGTGATACTTACTCATCAATAATTTTCACCAAGTAATTGACATTCACCAATGTTAAACAGTATAATAACTATTCCATAATGGCATTCGTATTAATGTATCATTTGACATTTCTGTATTATGTGCATTTTACTTTTACAATGCTTCATTAAGCTGAATCAACTCTTTTTTTGTCATGAATTGAACTCTCTTTTCTTTTTTCTCTTTATCTTTTCCCTCTCCCTCTCTTCCACTTTTCACTCTTTCTTTCTTCTGTCTTCTAAACTCACTGACAAACTGATTATCACCATTTTATAATTTACAATCATTTTTTCCTCTTTTTTTTTCTTCCTTTTTCTTCATACTCTGAGTTATTACTGAATTTTTAAATCAACTGTTTTTAATGCATTTTTATATGATACAATGTGAGCAATGTATCTCAAGTTATTACTGAATTTTTAAATCTACTGTTTTTTAATGAAATTCACCAATATTAAACAGTGTAATAACTATTCGATAATGGCATTCACATAATGTATCATTTGACATTTCCGTATTATGTGCATTTTACTTTTACAATGCTTCATTAAGCTGAATCAACTCAATTCTCGTTCATTTGCTGACAAATTTTTTGGTCAAAAATTGAACTCTCTTTTCTTTTTTTCTCTTTATCCTTTCCCTCTCCCTCTCTTCCACTTTTCAATCTTTCTTTCTTCTTTCTTCTCAATTCACTGACAAACTGATTATCACCATTTTGTAATTTACTATCATTTTTTTTTCTCTTCTTTTTTTCTTTTCTTCATACTTTAAATTATTACTGAATTTTTAAATCTACTGTTTTTAATGCATTTGTATATGATACAATGTGAACAATGTACTTCAACCTATTACTGAATGTTTAAATCTACTGTTGTTAATGCTTTTTTATATGATACATTGTGAGCCAATTATTGTTAGTCTTTGGACTTTTTATTTGGTATATTTGTAATAAAACCGAAAAATTGAATTGAATTTATATTCGCTGTTCATGTGGAATTGCGAAAACACATGAATGACGAGGATACAAAATTTAATTCTTGTTACATCCGGCTAATGTACACACAATCAATATAATACATAAAGGCTTTAAATTTAGGAACGCAGCGTAAAATATTGTCAAAGTAGACTATGAGTGGAATTAAAAACTTGAAAGGATAAAGAAGTTAAATTCATAATATGAACAAATGTTACAATAGATTTTCTCACCTGCACTACAAAGAACTCCATTAAATTCCGCAGCACATGTACATGCATCGTTCTCACAAGTACCTCCGTTCATACATGGGTTGCCGCCAGAAGAAGAACAGTCAACTACAGAGAGGGAAACAATTATCGTTAAATAAATTAATCTTTAAATGATTGACGAGGATACACAATTAATTTATTTGTATATATCTAGTCAGTGTACACAATATCAATATAATGTCTGAGAGATTGGATTTAAAAAACGAAGCGTAACAGATTGTCATAGTCGATCTCGAAATAAATTAGGAGGTAAAATTCAATATATGAAGGGATGTTACAATAGATTTTCCCACCTGTACTACACAGCGCTCCATTGAATTCTGCAGCACATGTACATGCATTGTTCTCACAGGTACCTCCGTTCATACATGGGTTGCCGCCAGACGCGGAACAGTCAACTACATAGAGGAAACAAAATACCCTTCAATTAATAACGAATCTTTATATGAGTAACGAAAATACACAATTAATTTATTTGTATATCTAGTCAGTGTACACAATATTAATATGATATCTAAGAGATTGGATTTTGAGAACAAAGCTTTAAAAAATGTCAAAATAGACTGAGTAGAATTATAATTTCGAAATAGGTTAGGACGTAAAAGTTACAATATGAACGGATGTTACAATATACGCTACTACCTGCACTACACAGAGCTCCATTAAATTCTGCAGCACATGTACATGCATTGTTCTCACAGGTACCTCCGTTCATACATGGGTTACCGCCAGAAGCAGAACAGTCAACTACAGAGAGGAAACAAAATATTCCTAAATTAATAACGAATTTTAACATTCACTGTTCATGTTGAAATGCAAAATACGTGAATGACGAGGACACACAATCAAATAAAATTCGTGTTATATTTAGCTAGTGGACACACAATTAATCTATTATCAAAACGCTTAGAATTTAAGAACGAAGTATAAAAAGTGGAAAAGTAGACTGTGACACCAAGACTAAGATAGAATCTTTACAGGATAGGAGGCAGAAGATGGATTTGATCGATACTTAAAAATATCTCAATGACATAAATAGGAATAATTCAGAAAATTTCTTCTTTGCTTCAAACAAAAATCTATGAGTCATACAAAAAAAGCTTTTCCAAAGACGTACTCGCAAAAAATTAACTGGCCACTTGTTCTCAAATCGAGTGGTCCAACCCTGGAACAGCTTACCTCATAATGTCTGTACCCACTGTTGCTACTTTTAAGAGGAAACTGAGAGCCCGACAAGAGGGTTAATCAACCAAGAATACCAAGAAGGTAAGAGTAGAATGATAATCTCGAAATTCAAATAAGAGGTTAAAGTCACAATATAAACGGATGTTACAAAAGATGTTCTCACCTGTACTACAAAGAGCTCCATCAAATTCCGCAGCACATGTACATGCATCGTTCTCACAAGTACCTCCGTTCATACATGGGTTGCCACCAGATGCAGAACAGTCAACTACAGAAAGAAAACAAAATATTATTAGATTAATAACGAATCTTTACACACCCAAAATATCATTGAATAAAGTAACGAATCTTTACATGAATAACGAGGATGCAGAATTAAATGTTTGCTTTATTTGGCTAATGTACACACATTCAACATAATATATAAAAGCTTGGAATTTAAGAACGATGCGTTAAAGATTATCTAAGTAGACTGTGAGTATATAGAATGATCAACTCAAAATGAATTAAAAGGTTTAAGTCACAATATGAACGGTTGTTACAATGATTTTCTCACCTGTACTACACAGAGCTCCGTTAAATTCCGCAGCACATGTACATGCATTGTTCTCACAAGTACCTCCGTTCATACATGGGTTGCCGCCAGATGCAGAACAGTCAACTACAGAAAGAAAACAAAATATTCTTGGATTAAATGTCTAAAAACTAGGAATTTAAGATCGCAGATTAAAAAATTGTCAAAGTAAGATGTGAATAGAATTATAATCTCAAAAAATTAAGAGGTTAAAGTCACAATATGAACGGATGTTAAAATATATTTTCTCACCAGTACTACACAGAGCTCCATCAAATTCTACGGCACATGTACATGCATTGTTTTCACAGGTACCTCCGTTCAAACATGGGTTGCCGCCAGACGCAGAACAGTCAACTACAGAGAGGAAACAAAATATCCTTGAATAAATAACGAATCTTTACATTAATAACGAGGATGCAGAATTAAATTAATGTTATATTTAGGCAGGGAACACACAATCAAAATTATATATGAGAGTGTGGAATTTAAGAACGAAGCGCAAAAGATTGTCATAGCAGACCCGTGAGTAGAATGATAATCTCGAAATAATTTAAGAAGTAAAAGTCACAATCCTTCTACGCTTTGGACGTGGTCTCCTCAAGTCTGAACGGCATCGTGACATGCTACCTGCTACTCATCAATGTGTCTCTCACCGCAGTTCAACACTTAGAAGTGCTCATCTACTAGACCTACAGCGTTGTAAAACCCAACGATATAGGAACTCTGCAATCCCGTTTTTAACACGAATGCTCAATTCTTCCATGTAGTTTTAGCTTATTACCCCGTGAATGCCTATTATAGGTCTACATGTTTTTATTTATTCACGTGATAGATATACATGTGCCCTGAATATACACGTGGCTTAAATTTCTTAAATATATTTATTTTTTGATACTCATGTTCCTATATATATTAATGAAACAACTTTATTCCGTTTACATGGTTAATGCACCCAATTCAATCTTTTAATTCATAGTATATATATATATATTTATAGTACAACAATGCCAGAATGAGACACTGCGTTTAATGTTGTTATTTGTTTACACTTTTTTACACATTATTTACACACGCTTGTTTCTTTAGATCTTCTGCAGGTGCCCATCTCATTTCTTAATTTCCAACTTTCTTCATATTTGCTAGTAGAATTGTTTATTTTTAAAACATGTAAATCCCATATTATCACCATTACGTTTTATCTATCAATTTATGTTAATTGTGTTTAAAATGTAAATGTTCAAAATCTAAATGTTACGAGAAAAGGAAATGAAATACTTTGTCCATTCTCTCTTTGTTATCTTCTTTTTTCCCAAATCATCCATGTATGTAAATTCGATTTATTTTATGTCTGATGTGCAATATATTGAAGTTTTCATTACTATTATTGTTAATTTATTCCTTGAACTAATTTGTGATCGTTTCTCTATTGATGTACATGTATTTTTAATTTCTCCGTATTTCTTTGAGCTTTATAATCTTTGTTTGTATCAGTCTCCTGACTGTTTTAACATGGAATTTTGACACAATAAAACCGAAATGAATGAATGAATGAAAAAATATGAACGGATATTACAACAGATTTTCTCACCTGAACTACACAGAGCTCCATTAAATTCCGCAGCACATGTGCATGCATTGTTTTCGCAGGTACCTCCGTTCATACATGGGTTGCCGCCAGAAGCAGAACAGTCAACTACAGAAAGGAAACAAAATATCCTTGAATAAATAACGGATCTTTACATGCATAACGAGGATGCAGAATTAAAGTTTTGTTATATTCAGCCGGTGTACATACAATTAATATAATATATAAAAGCTTGAAATTCATGATCGTACCAGGAAGCTGTGATGAATGGAGATACCGTCTCGAAAGAATTTTCCGAGGGAAAAATATTCAAGATTAACCTGGCTTAACAAAAAGAAATTTAACCCTCTCCAGCCATCATTTCCATCAACAGCTGTCCATATCAATGCACAGTCCCTCTCTGGCATTCCAAATTGTACGAAATGTTACGCAACGCCATCTGCTTCCCTAAGTTCTCTATGCACTCTTTTGCAAAAATATGCAAGCATCGGGCTTTGATGCCATGCGTGGCACCGACAAATTAAGTTATGTTCAGGGAAGATGTATTTAGCTATAACATATAAAATGCAGAATTCACAGCATATGACCAATGCAACTTTCTATTGGTCATCATATGCGTTTTCCGTTCTCGGATAGCTCTACTGAAGACATGGCTATTTCAACCAGCGAAATCGACCAAGGAAATCATGAGTTAGAGCGAATGAAACATTTTCATCATCATGATTTTCTAATCTCATTATTGACATTTTCCGAAAATTTCCGAAATTTGTACATAGCTAGGAAGGTAGTTCAAAGGTTTATCTTCCTAAAGAACTAAATGAAATTGTGTTATATGTTTGCGCATTTATTGATTTAGGGCTAGAAGTTGTCAAGTTATTACCACTCTTCACTCAAAGTACGGGCCGGCAAAGCAAAAGCCGCCGTGCTCGCTGGGCTGGGCTGTGTGTGGAATAGGAGGACTTAGTGCTACTAGGGAGCTGTTCGGTTTCGGAGGGGGAATAAGGGGATTACGGTAGGGGAAACAAAAGACGCGCGGTGCCACGGATGACTTCAAAGACGCCTTTTGGACGGGATCTCCATTCGTTACAGCCTCCTAATCGTACGAAGCTTAAACGATTGTTAAAGTAGACTGCGAGTAGAAGGATAATCTCGAAATGAATTAAGAGGGTAAAGTCACAATATGGATTGATGTCACAATAGATATTCTCACCTGTACTACACAGAGCTCCATTGAATTCTGCAGCACATGTACATGCATTGTTCTCACAGGTACCTCCGTTCATACATGGGTTGCCGCCAGATGCAGAACAGTCAACTACAGAGAGGAAACAAAACATCCTTAAATCAATAACGAATCTTTAAATTCACTGCTAATGTGGAAATACGAATTACACGAATGACGAGAATACAAAATCATTTTCTTTTTGTTAGCCAGTGTACACACAATCAATATAATATCTAAAACCTTGGAATTTAGGAACAAAAATTACAATATTTTAAAAGTAGCCTGTGAGTAGAATGATAACCTTGAAATAAATAAAGAGGTTAAAGTCTCTTAATATGAATGGATGTCACAATAGATTTTCTCACCTGTACTACAAAGAGCTCCATTAAATTCCGCAGCACATGTACATTCATTGTTCTCACAGGTACCTCCATTCTGACAGGGGTTGTCGACAGAACAGCCGGCTACAGCGAGGAGAGAAATTATACTTTTAACAAGTGACAATCGTTACATTCATCGTTCTCAAAAGATACATTCCAAAGATTTGAATTAAGCAAAAATGAATGAGAGAGTGTCAAATTAGAAAGTAAGAAGACCCTTTGCCCTTTATCCGTACAGAAACCATTTTTTTAGGGGTATGTTAATTAGAATGAAGTTATCGAAAATATTTCAGAGTATAAAGTCACGATAGATGCGCGTGACAGGGCAACAATCTTGTCTTTTTTGAGTAGCCAATGATATCTTGAAAAGCAAAATATTGTTTAACAAACACGCTTAATCCCGATAGCAATTATCGTATGTCACTATGGATTTCCATACCTGTACTACACAAGGCTCCAATAAATGTCCCAGCACATGTACATGCATTGTTCTCACAGGTACCTGCGTTCATACATGGGTTGCCGCCAGAAGCAGAACAGTCAACTACAGAGAGGAAACAAAAATTAATATCCTCAAATGAATGATGAATGTTTACCTATATCGTTGATATAAAAAAACGTGAAAGACGAGGATCAGTTATAACAATGATACCAGGCATTATACACAATTTACGAATGATGTATTAAACATTGTCAAACTACAAAGTAGCTAGGCTTCCCCCTTATATACACTACTCAGAGGTTTTTTCAGAGGTTTTAGTGAGAATTTTGTATCGATATTAAGAGGTTAAAGTCACAATATAAACGGATGTTACTCTAGATTTTTCTCACCTGTACTACAAAGAGCTCCATCAAATTCTGCAGCACATGTACATGCATTGTTCTCACAGGTACCTCCGTTCATACATGGGTTGCCGCCAGAAGCAGAACAGTCAACTACAGAGAAGAAACAAAATATATTCAAACTAAGGTAACGGATATTTTCATTCACTGTTTAAGGGAAAAGGCGAAATACATTGACACACAATCAATATACAAGCCTTGAATTAAAGGGATCCGGTAACTTTGTCTCAAATTCTGAAACAAAATTCTGGATTTAGCTCATGCTGCAATGATAATTATAAATCTTTAGGTCAGTCAGGAACCCCATGACTTTTACAAGCCAATCGTCTGTCTGATTATCAAGATATTTATTATTGGAATTACAAATTTTGAAAACCGTTTGCCAAACGGTTTTCATAACACTACAGTCTATTCGGGAAAACGAGTATGGTAAAACCGGTCACTCAAATTTTTTACTTTTTTGAGGCGCTTCTTAATCATTTAGAAGCGCAATTTTTTAGGGCTTCCATATAACACCATATCACAGACACTGATATCACGTAGGGCCGTGTATCTCAGATTTAGCATTGTTATACGATCCCTTTAAAGAAAGAAGCCTAATCGATTGTAAAGGTAGACCGTGAGTAGAATAATTCCCGAAAGTTAACTATCAAAACACAATATTAACGAATGTTACTTTAGATGTTATCACCTGTACTACACAGAGCTCCATTGAATTCTGCAGCACATGTACATGCATTGTTCTCACAGGTACCTCCGTTCATACATGGGTTGCCGCCAGATGCAGAACAGTCAACTACAGAGAGGAAACAAAATATCCTTAATTATTTAACGAATCTTATCATTCACTGTTAATGTTGAAATGCAAAATACATGAATAACGAAGACACACAATTAAAATCATTAAATTCATCACTGTAAGTATCATCATCACATCATCATCATCACAGTAAGTAATACGCTAAGACCCCGCGGGGGGGGGGGGGCATGACGTCTCCGCGAGCCTTTGTATTCTATTGTTTTTTAATGAGATCGCCGACCGAAGTTGGTGCAGCTATCTCCTCCTAAACCCTCCTCTCGAAGTACCGTTGCCCAGTGCCATCGTCCGCGGGAGAGTCTAATCTGTTCGATTGGCTATACTCCGCCCGAGGTCCTCCTCCGTGTCGACGTCCAGGGCGAAAACAGACGCGATATGCATAATGCATAATATGCGTGACGACAGAGATACCTCATGCATATTCAACATTACATCCGTATCAAAGAGACACACGACAGATGACCATTAACTCGCCTAATATGGCGTAGCAAATTTACGATGCAACGGGTCGGGATTACCCCTGAGTAAACCATCTTGCTATAGGATATGCTTTGTAGTAGCTGCACAAGCCATAGAGATACACGGGGCTTCCCGTCCACGTCCAACAAACTTAGAGACCTATTTCCATCATTATTGCTGCGAATTTTATATAGTTTTCGTGAATGGAGGAATGAAATCAAAGCCTTTTTAGTGATTGTTCTGGCCATGTTTACTGAATTTTGATTATCATTTTTTCACAAGAAAATCATTGGACTGACAGTTCAGTCGCAAGCTACCTTCAGTCAACACACGTACAGTACACACGGTGCTGCCGCTGTCGGCCGGGAATTTGACTGAGTGAGCTAGAGTCGAAGAGTATGGGGGCCAAGCAGGCCAATATTCGTACAACTATACAACTAAACATACGTCTATCCATCCATCGAAGAACCCGTCAACACAACAGCGTGCGGGCGGAAGTGCCATAATTTTGTACACTTATATAGCAATAAAACTATATTGCCTTTACGTCTACTCAGCCATTGGAGACCAATATTGTCTTATATCTACAGTAATTTACAAGAAAGCATTAAATAAGGTTATGAATTGTACATTTACATTAATAATTCAATATCAACCAGACAGAAGTATGTGACTTTATGCATTGCAAAAAAGTCAGTTGCGTGATGAGTAAAATCGTTTGGGGGGGGGGGGGGAGGTGCAGAAAAAAATCTGCATCACCATTCACCATTCTTACATGTTACATGCAGGCTCCAAGAAACGTTTTTCAAAGTGGGGGGGGGGGGAGAGATCATTTAGATCGCAGCGAGTTGAGTGTATATAGGTGTGGGGTCCACGTGTTTCAAGGGGCCATAAACCTCGAAAGCTCAGGGATTTTAGGCATTCAATTAGGGTTAGATGACCATATTTTAATACTTTATTTGTGACACTGGGAGGTCACTAATTGGCGTGAGGTCCATACGTAGAGTTGCGTAGTCTTGCGTACCAACTACGCTGGCCTACGTTACTAATTATGCTGAGGGACACAAAGGGGTAAGCAAGATGGACGCCAACAATTCAACATGTTTAATTTTTTTCGCGTTCTTTCGGCGTAGAAACTTGACGCAGAAAGTATGCCTTTTTACGCAACACTACGCTACTGTACGCCATGCCTACGCAACAGTACGCTACCCTACGCCAGATCGACAAAACAGTTAAAGCTTTCCACACAGTAAGCAACCGTAAGCAACTATAATCAAACCTGTACGCCAGCCTACGCATAACCTACGCAGGTACTACAGTGAAGCAACATTTCGCCATTAATACGCAGCCTAATTTCTGCGTAATCTGGACGCCACACTACGCAACTCTACGCAGTTCCACGCAGTTCCATTGTAAAAAAGGCTTAAAGAATAACTACCGGAAGAGTTGGATATTTTTTTTTGTTTTTATAAATGGCGAATAAAGTTCTTGGTGGTTTTAATTTAGAGAGTCTCTATTTATCTATTTAAACCCCCGCCCCCCTCTAGAGTCCCGCGGATTTCCGCGGGTCCTGCTAGTCGTCGTGTTATATTAAGCTAGTGTACAGACATTCTATATGAAACAAAAACTTAGAAATTTAAGAAACAAGCGTAAAAGATTGTCAAAATCGATTGTGAGTAAATGATATAATCTTGAAATAAATTAAGAGGTTCAAGTCACAATAAACACGGATGTTACAGACGATATTCTTACCTGTACTACACAGAGCTCCATCAAATTCTGCAGCACATGTACATGCATTGTTCTCACAGGTACCTCCGTTCATACATGGGTTGCCGCCGGAAGCAGAACAGTCAACTACACAGAGGAAACAAAATATCCTTAAATTAATAACGATTCTTTATATTCGCTGTTCATGTGGAATTGCGAACACACATGAATGACGAGGATACAAAATTAAATTCTTGTTACATCCGGCCAATGTACACACAATCAATATAATACATAAAGGCTTTAAATTTAGGAACGCAGCGTAAAAGATTGTCAAAGTAGACTATGAGTAGAATTAAAAACTTGAAAGGATAAAGAAGTTAAATTCATAATATAAACAAATGTTACAATAGATTTTCTCACCGGCACTACAAAGAACTCCATTAAATTCCGCAGCACATGTACATGCACTGTTCTCACAAGTACCTCCGTTCATACATGGGTTGCCGCCAGATGCAGAACAGTCAACTACAGAGAGGGAAACAATTATCGTTAAATAAATGAATCTTTAAATGATTGACGAGGATACACAATTAATTTATTTGTATATATCTAGTCAGTGTACACAATATCAATATAATGTCTGAGATATTGGATTTAAAAAACGAGGCGTAAAAGATTGTCGTAGTCGATCTCGAAATAAATTAGCAGGGAAAATTCAATATATGAAGGGATGTTATAATAGATTTTCTCACCTGTACTACACAGCGCGCCATTGAATTCTGCAGCACATGTACATGCATTGTTCTCACAGGTACCTCCGTTCATACATGGGTTGCCGCCAGATGCGGAACAGTCAACTACATAGAGGAAACAAAATACCCTTCAATTATTAACGAATCTTTATATGAGTAACGAGGATACACAATTAATTTATTTGTATATCTAGTCAGTGTACACAATATTAATATGATATCTAAGAGATTGGATTTTGAGAACAAAGCTTTAAAAAATGTCAAAATAGACCGAGTAGAATTATAATCTCGAAATAGATTAGGAGGTAAAAGTTACAATATGAACGGATGTTACAATAGACGCTATTACCTGCACTACACAGAGCTCCATTAAATTCCGCAGCACATGTACATGCATTGTTCTCACAGGTACCTCCGTTCATACATGGGTTGCCGCCAGAAGCAGAACAGTCAACTACAGAGAGGTAACAAAATATTCCTAAATTAATAACGAATTTTAACATTCACTGTTCATGTTGAAATGCAAAATACGTGAATGACGAGGACACACAATCAAATCAAATTCGTGTTATATTTAGCTAGTGGACCCACAATTAATCTATTATCAAAACGCTTAGAATTTAAGAACGAAGTATAAAAAGTGGAAAAGTAGACTGTGACACCAAGACTAAGATAGAATCTTTACAGGATAGGAGACAGAAGACGGATTTGATCAATACTTACAAATATCTCAATGATATATATAGGAATAATTCAGAAAATCTCTTATTTGCTCCAAACAAAGATCTAAGAAGTCATACAAAAAAAGCTTTTCCAAAGACGTACTCGCAAAAAATTAGCTGGCCACTTGTTCTCAAATCGAGTGGTCCAACCCCGGCCCCCCACTCAGGTTTCAAAATGACCGCATGCGTGTTGCCAAAATGTCCTTTTCGTAACAAAAGAAAAAGGTCGAGCCGTATTGACTTTACACACCGGACTTTTGCTGAAAAGGGGGGGTGCGGAAAAAGGCTCGTATACAAAAGAAAAAGGTCGAGCCGTATTGACTTTACACACCGGACTTTTGCTGAAAAGGGGGGGTCGGTTGGAACACGCATATGCGTACCCTAAATAACACTTAGTGGGGGGCCGGGGGTCCAACCCTGGAACAGCTTACCTCATAGTGTCTGTACCCACTGTGGCTACTTTCAAGAGGAAACTGAGAGCCCGACAAGAGGGCTAATCAACCAAGTATACCAAGAAGGTAAGAGTAGAATGATAATCTCGAAATTCAAATAAGAGGTTAAAGTCACAATATAAACGGATGTTACAATAGATGTTCTCACCTGTACTACAAAGAGCTCCATCAAATTCCGCAGCACATGTACATGCATTGTTCTCACAAGTACCTCCGTTCATACATGGGTTACCGCCAGATGCAGAACAGTCAACTACAGAAAAAATATATATTATTAGATTAATAACGAATCTTTATACACCCAAAATATCATTGAATAAATCTTTACATGAATAACGAGGATGCAGAATTAAATGTTTGCTTTATTAGGCTAGTGTACACACAATCAACATAATATATAAAAGCTTGGAATTTAAGAACGATGCGTTAAAGATTATCTAAGTAGACTGTGAGTAGAATGATCAAGTCGAAATGAATTAAGAGGTTAAGTCACAATGTGAACGGTTGTTACAATAGATTTTCTCACCTGTACTACACAGAGCTCCGTTAAATTCCACAGCACATGTACATGCATTGTTCTCACAGGTACCTCCGTTCATACATGGGTTGCCGCCAGATGCAGAACAGTCAACTACAGAAAGAAAACAAAAAATTCTTAGATTAAATGTCTAAAAACTAGGAATTTAAGATCGCAAACTAAAAGATTGTCAAAGTAAGATGTGAATAGAATTATAATCTCAAAAAATTAAGAGGTTAAAGTCACAATATGAACGGATGTTAAATTATATTTTCTCACCAGTACTACACAGAGCTCCATTAAATTCCGCAGCACATGTACATGCATTGTTTTCACAGGTACCTCCGTTCAAACATGGGTTGCCGCCAGACGCAGAACAGTCAACTACAGAGAGGAAACAAAATATTCTTGAATAAATAACGAATCTTTACATTAATAACGAGGATGCAAAATGAAATTAATGTTATATTTGGGCCGTGTACACACAATCAAAATTATATATAAGAGTTCGGAATTTAAGAACGAAGCGCAAAAGATTGACACAGCAGACCCGTGAGTAGAATGATAATCTCGAAATAATTTAAGAGGTAAAAGTCACAATATAAACGGATATTACAACAGATTTTCTCACCTAAACTACACAGAGCTCCATTAAATTCCGCAGCACATGTGCATGCATTGTTTTCGCAGGTACCTCCGTTCAAACATGGGTTGCCGCCAGAAGCAGAACAGTCAACTACAGAGAAGAAACAAAATATCCTTGAATAAATAACGAATCTTTACATGCATAACGAGGATGCAGATATAAAGTTTTGTTATATTCAGCCGGTGTACATACAATTAATATAATATATAAAAGCTTGGAATTCATGATCGTACGAAGCTTAAATGATTGTTAAAGTAGACTGCGAGTAAAAGGATAATCTCGAAATGAATTGAGAGGTTAAAGTCACAATATGGATTGATGTCACAATAGATTTTCTCACCTGTACTACACAGAGCTCCATCGAATTCTGCAGCACATGTACATGCATTGTTCTCACAGGTACCTCCGTTCATACATGGGTTGCCGCCAGATGCAGAACAGTCAACTACAGAGAGGAAACAAAACATCCTTAAACCAATAACGAATCTTTAAATTCACTGCTCATGTGGAAATACGAATAACACGAATGAGGAGAATACAAAATCATTTTCTTTTTGTTAGCCAGTGTACACACAATCAATATAATATCTAAAACCTTGGAATTTAGGAACAAATCGTACTATATTTTAAAAGTAGCCTGTGAGTAGAATGATAACTTTGAAATAAATAAAGAGGTCAAAGTCTTTTAATATGAATGGATGTCACAATAGACTTTCTCACCTGTACTACAAAGAGCTCCATTAAATTCCGCAGCACATGTACATTCATTGTTCTCACAGGTACCTCCATTCTGACAGGGGTTGTCGACAGAACAGCCGGCTACAGAGAGGAGAAAAATTATACTTTTAACAAGTGACAATCTTTACATTCATCGTTCTCAAAAGCAACGTTCCGAAGCTTGGAATTAAGCAAAATTGAATGAGAGAGTGTCAAATTAGAAGTAAGAAGACCCTTTCCCCTTTATTCGTACAGAAACCTTTTTTTAGGGGTATGTTAATTAGAATGGAGTTATCGAAATTATTTCAGAGTATAAAGTCACGATAGATGCTCGTGACAGGGCAACAATCTTGTCTTTTTTGAGTAACCAATGATATCTTGAAAAGCAAAGTATTGTTTAACAAACACGTTTAATCCCGATATCAATTATCGTATGTCACTATGGATTTCCATACCTGTACTACACAAGGCTCCAATAAATGTCCCAGCACATGTACATGCATTGTTCTCACAGGTACCTGCGTTCTCACATGGGTTGCCGCCAGAAGCAGAACAGTCAACTACAGAGAGGAAACAAAAATTAATATCCTCAAATGAATGATGAATGTTTACCTATATCGTTCATATGAATATACGTGAAAGACGAGGATCAGTTATAACAATGATACCAGGGATTGTACACAATGTACGAATGATGTATTAAACATTGTCAAACTACAAAGTAGCTAGGCTTCCCCCTTATTTACACTACTGGTTTTATCATACCTTGGAAGTAGGCATAAAGTTATACAAAACTTATTTGCCCCTCGGTGTCCGTTTACTTAGTGGGTTACTGTTGAATTTGGCGTTGTGCAGTTACGGATGAACATGGACAGTTGAATAGTTCATCAGGATTAAACTTGTCCTTCTTCAGTGACCAGTACTTGTCAAGATTTGATTTGAAAGAATTGAGTGATGGACTTTCTGCTACATATGATGGGAGACCATTCCATTCGTTTACTACTCTCTGTGAAAAAGAGCTCTGCCTCAATTTAGATTTTACATGTTTCTTTTGTAGTTTGAACTGGTGACCTCTTGTTACTGTGACAGTGGTACGATGAAAGAAATTAGTTGACTGGAGGTCGTCGATTCCATGCATTATCTTATAGACCTGTAGCATGTCGCTTCTATGACGTCTGTATGATAATGAAGGCAAATTTAGTTGTTCTAGCCGTAAATTGTACTGCAGACTTCTGAGAGGTTGAAGGAGTTTAGTTGCACGACGTTGAACTTTTTCCACTTTGAGAATATGTTTCTTCTTATAAGGGTGCCACACGGGAGAGCAATATTCTAGTGCCGGTCTCACAATTGACTTGTATAACTGTGTGAGTCCCTTGTTGTCCATTGTTGAAAAAGTACGCTTGATGATTCCTAGTTTCCGGTTTGCAGCATTGCAAGCTGTGTCAATGTGATTTGAAAAGGACATTTTAGCATCAAATATTACTCCCAGATCTTTTTCATGTTGAACTGCAGGTAATGGCTCGTTCACATCGTTCATAGTGTAGTCACACAAGGGATTTCTTCTTCCATAGTGGATGACTTTGCATTTCTCAATGTTGAAAGGGAGTTGCCATGTTCTAGACCATACAAGAAGGTTGTTTAGTTCTGATTGAAGAGTCTTTCCGTCGTCGATGTTAGCAATTGAAGAGTACAGCTTGGTATCATCTGCAAAGAGCTTAACTTTACATTCATTAGACTGAATAACGTCAGGCAGGTCATTCACGTAGATTAGGAAGAGGGTGGGCCCTAACACACTCCCCTGCGGTACGCCACTCAGAACGTTGGATTCTGCAGATGTCTTTCTGTTAACCATCACTTGTTGAGATCTTCCACTTAAAAGGACTCGATCCAGTTCAACAGATTACCTGAGATACCGTACGACTCAATTTTCTGTAGCAATCTTTGGTGTGGGACAGTGTCGAATGCTTTACTGTAGTCAAGATATATACAATCAATACTTCTTCCACTATCAAGCTCCTTGTACCAAGCTTCAGATACATCGAGTAGTTGTGTGACGCAAGATCTGCCTTTCCTAAAACCAAATTGATTGTCTGTGTACAGTTCTTGTCTATCCATATGGTCAACTATCACATCTCTGATGAAGGATTCCATCATCTTGCACAAAGTACTGGTTAAGCTCACAGGACGGTAATTACTTGGTTTCCTCTTATCACCCTTTTTGTATATAGGTGTAACATAGGCTTCCTTCCAACGTGCTGAGACTTGACCTTTCGACATCGACAAATTGAACAATTCAGTGAGAGGTTTAGCAATATATTCCCCAAGTTCCTTCAGAATACGGTTATGTACATTGTCAGGTCCAGGGGATTTGGTTTGATTGAGCTTCTTGATTGCTTCTCTGACAGCAGATTCTGTAAATTCAACGTTGTCCAGGGTTGTAATATTTATTCTCTATTTATTCTCGGATCACATCTAGGAATATTGGCTAAATCTTCTGTCGTAAATACAGAGACAAAAAAATTGTTCAAGGTATTAGCTTTTTCAGTGTCTGTTTCTGCATAGCCACCATCGGGTTTCTCCAGTGACCCGATTGAAGATTTTGTCTTTGTTTTACTTTTCACATATTTCCAAAAGCATTTTGGATTCGTTTTCAGATCTGAAGTTAGTTTCTTTTCGAAAGATTTCTTTGCATCGGTAACTATTCTGGTGACCTCGTTCCTAATCTTCTTGAACTTATCTCTGTCTTGTTGGCTTCTTGTTTTCTGGAAACGATTCCAGGCTTTATGTTTGTCACAAATTACTTTTCTAACAGCAGTATTCATCCATAAGGGTCTATCCTTTGCTCTCGATTTGAATTTAGGCACAAAAGTATTTGTTACTTCATTGATCCGTTCAACAATAGCATTGCAAGTACAGTTTAGCACATCATCTGTATGGGTCACATGTATATCAAACACCTCATTTTCATAGACGAATTTCCTCATTCCTTCAAAATCTCCCTTGAAGAATGCATAGTGTTCCAGGTTGGTGGTTTTACAAGACATGTTCAACACCAATACTTTGAATTCAAGTACTAGATGGTCGCTCTTGCCTATTGGAGAAGAGGTAACCAATGATTCAATCATGTCTTCTTGGTCAGTAATAATAAGATCCAAAACATTCGATGTTTGTCCTTCTCTCATTCTAGTTGGTTCAGTTACTAGTTGTGACATGTATAAATCTTGCAGGGTATCTACAAACTCATAAGAAAAACATGTATCTGGCCCAGTTGCTGAAGGGATATTCCAGTTTATGTGTGGAAGGTTGAAGTCTCCCATTATAACAATTCTGTTGTGATGCAAAACGATCTATTTCTTCAAGGAGTTGCAGTAAAGTGTGATCGTTATCGCTGTTGCTGTTTGGACTTCTGTAAATACATCCTACTAGTATTTCTTCGGATCCGTCACTAATTAAACACCAAACATGTTCTTCAAAGTCAATACCATCAACAGCAAAATATCGAGTCTGTAAGTTTTTCTTGCAATATATCGCTACTCCTCTATGACTTTTGGATGGTAGATATAGGTCATATCCCTTCAACTGAAGTTCAGCTTCATCAACTGGAAGAAGACAATGTTTTGGATATATTTCACACAGTGCTAAAACATCAGGATTTGCAACGCTCAGTCTTGTTTCTAACTCAATTCTCTTATTAAGAAGAGAATCCACATTACTATAAATAAAAGACAGATCATCGATTCTCCTGCTTTGGTTAATCTCCTTGTGAAAGTTTTCTTTTGCATGGGTTTTGCTATGTACATTTTGTAAGGAAGACCTTTCCTGACTACTTGTTCCGAAAGGGCTGTGAGCCTCCCGGAGAGTTATCTTTTGTAGAGCTTGGCATGTTGTCTCTCCATTTGACTAATCTGTCGTCACGGATGAACCAATTTTTCTCTCCATTACTTTGTCTTCTTCTTAACTCTTCAACTAGCTCACGCCTTTTGGCTCTTTCCTTCTTCGTCATGTCTGCTTGAATGTACAGATTTTTGTAGTCTCCAGGACCTTTGCGAAGATTTCTGGCTTTCTTCTTTGCATCGGTGGTGGATTGAATGCTATGAAATTCTACCAGAAGGGGGCGTGGTCTAGGTTTATCCTGATCTGCATCTGCATCTGATGACCTCTGTCCTAAGCGTCGTAGTCGCTTAACTTCATAGGTCACCTCTAAGTATTCCAGTACTGCTCGAACGTTGGCATTATCATGATATAACCTTTCACTTGGATCATCGGATCTGTACTCGGTCATACCTTGTATGATGATGTTCCCCTTCCTCTTCTCCTTCTCTTGCTGTTCCTCCATGACCTCAGAGAACAATGACTGAACAGTAGAAGTTATGATTTCTTTAGGTTCATTCTGCTTGGTAACGATGTCCTCGTGTAGAGATTTTTTCAAGTCCCTCATATCCGTGTCAAGTTGAGTGCAGAGCTTTTCCACTCTTTCCCACCTGTTGCCCATAGCTTCTAGACTGTCAAGTCTTTTCATTGTCTCCCCTAGAAACTTCTTACATCTCTCCTCAACTATTTGGTCTGTTCTCACTGCTTCAAGAGCGTTAACTTCACATGTATGGCAGTACCAGTGAGCCACTGAGATTCTATCAAACACTTTGAATTCTTCTGATGAAAGTGAACTGCATGGTAGACAAAACCATTTGTTGCACGTCTCACACTCTATACTAGGCTTATCATCAGTTAGTATCACTCCACATGGTCCACCACAGGCATGGGTATTATGCTGGGCATCTGAACTAGATGTTTCACTCAAATTCTTGCTTGAAATTGAATTATCTTTTCTTGATTTGCTTCCACGTGTGAGTACTTGGTTTTTCTTTATAAGATATTCAGAGTCACTATTGATGTTTTTACTAGTGCTACTTGGTGCACTGTGTGATCTCTGAGTCTTATCAGGACTAGGAAGATATTTTTTGGCAGCCCTTGTTCTGCTAGTGCTTCTCTGATCCTCCATTTCTAATTGAGTTCAGCTTCCAACACCAGAACAGAAACTAAGTCTAAATTTTAGATTTAGATTTAGTATTGTCAAGCCTATATTTCACCCAGCAACAAAACCTCAAAAATGTAGACTAGGATAGGTAATGACTGATGAAAATTGCAATTCAATACATACATGTGTACATGTAGCTAGTCTGATGAGAAGTATAGCTGAAACATGAAGGACATGAAGAAGAATACCTGGGACTGTAGAGATTACATGCATGTGTGAAAGTGGCAGGCATACATACAGAGCTTGATCAAAATCCACTAAAATCACCATGAAGAGATGCAATCCAATCCTCTAAATCACATTAATAGATCCTCTGGATATCCAATTGAATATTTGTCAACAAAATAACTCCAAATTACAAAACATCAAAGGAGAAAATTAGATCCAAAAAATGTTACCAGGAGCAGTCCAAAAATTTCCACCCTCCAACTGCACACTACAGTTTTCAGAGGTTTTAGTGAGAATTTTGTATCGATATTAAGAGGTTAAAGTCACAATACAGTGCGTCCTAGAAAAAACGAAACCGAGAAGTATCGATGTTCTATCAGAACTTAATCACAACTATAATTAATGAATGATACATATTTGGAAAGCTTAGAGTCTCCTCTTTCAGTTGATGCTACTCATGTGATGCATATTTCACGCATGAGTGATTATAAGTAATTTGAAGGAAGGAAACCAAAAATACATTTGGCGGGCGGTATCTGAATTTCGAAGAAAAATTCACATTTCTAGAAAGTTGAGTTTCTGCCCTTTCATATGACACCTCAATCAGGAAAAATGAGCGAGGAATGACAAAGTTCTGTTTGTTTAAAGTAGTGCTTGCATTTCCATCATTGTATTAAACGAATTAGTTTTCACTGGCTGCTTGCCGTATCAATAAACGAAATTAACAAAAGACTTAACTCCGTTTCGTTGACAATCAGCCGTAGACGAGAGTGTTCATGCATGGCTGATTGTCAACGAAACGGAGTTAAGTCTTTTGTCAAAATGCTTTTTGCTACGGCAGGCACCCAGTGAAAACGAATTCGTTTGTTAAAATTATGAAAATGTAAGGGCTACTTTAAACAAACAGAATGTTGTTATTCCTGGCTCATTTTTCTTGATTGAGGTATCATATGAAAGAGCAGAAAATGAAATTTCTAGAAATATGAATTTTTCTTTGAAATTCAGATACCGCCCGCCAAATTACTTTTTGGTTTCCTTCCTTCAAATTGCTTTTAATCACTCATGCGTAAAATATGCATCACGTGAGTAGCATCAACTGAAAGAGGAGACTCTAATCTTTCCAAATATGTATCATTCATTAATTATGGTTGTGATTAAGTTATGGGGACGCACTGTATAAACGGATGTTACTCCAGATTTTTCTCACCTGTACTACAAAGAGCTCCATCAAATTCTGCAGCACATGTACATGCATTGTTCTCACAGGTACCTCCGTTCAAACATGGGTTGCCGCCAGAAGCAGAACAGTCAACTACAGAGAAGAAACAAAATATATTCAAACTAAGGTAACGGATATTTTCATTCACTGTTTAAGGGGAAAGGCGAAATACATTGACACACAATCAATATACAATCTAAAAGCCTTGAATTAAAGGGATCCGGTAACTTTGTCTCAGATTCTGAAACAAAATTCTGGATTTAGCTCATGCTGCAATGATAATTATATACCTTTAGGTCAGTCAGGAACCCCATGACTGTTACAAGCCAATCGTTTGTCTGATTATCAAGATATTTATGATTGGAATTACAAATTTTGAAAACCGTTTACCAAACGGTTTTCATAACACTACAGTCTATTGGGGAAAACGAGTATGGTAAAAACCGGTCACTCAAAATTTTTACTTTTTGAGGCGCTTCTTGATCATTTAGAAGCGCAATTTTTGTAGGGCTTTCATATTACACCATATCACACCATATCACAGAAACTGATATCACGTAGGCCCGTGTATCTCAGATTTAGCATTATTAAACGATCCCTGTAAAGAAAGAAGCCTAATCGATTGTAAAGGTAGACCGTGAGTAGAATGATAATTCCCGAAATTTAACTATCAAAACTTAATATTAACGAATGTTACTTTAGATTTTATCACCTGTACTACACAGAGCTCCATTGAATTCTGCAGCACATGTACATGCATTGTTCTCACAGGTACCTCCGTTCATACATGGGTTGCCGCCAGATGCAGAACAGTCAACTACAGAGAGGAAACAACATATCCTTAATTATTTAATGAATCTTATCATTCACTGTTAATGTTGAAATGCAAAATACATGAATAACGAAGACACACAATTTAATTCATTAAATTTATCACAGTAAGTATCATCATCATCATCACATCATCATCATCATCATCATCACATCATCATCATCATCATCACCATCATCATCATCATCACAGTAGGTAATACGCTAAGACCCCGCGGGGGGGCATGAGGTCTCCGCGAGCCTTTGTATGCTATTGTTTTTTAATGAGATCGCCGACCGAAGTTGGTGCAGCTATCTCCTCTTGAACCCTCCCCTCGGGGTACCGTTGCCCGGTGCCATCGTCCGCGGGAGAGTCTAATCTGTTCGATTGGCTATACTCCGCCCGAGGTCCTCCTCCGTGTCGACGTCCAGGGCGAAAACAGACGCGATATGCATAATGCATGATATGCGTGACGACAGAGATAACTCATGCATATTCAACATTACATCCGTATCAAAGAGACACACGACAGATGACCATCAACTCGCCTAATATGGCGTAGCAAATTTACGATGCAACGGGTCGGGATTACCCCTGAGTAAACCATCTTGCTATAGGATATGCTTTGTAGTAGCTGCACAAGCCATAGAGATACACGGGGCTTCCCGTCCACGTCCAACAGTCTTAGAGACCTATTTCCATCAATATTGCTGCGAATTTTATATAGTTTTCGTGAATGGAGGTATGAAATCAAAGCCTTTTTTGTGATTGTTCTGGCCATGTTTACTGAATTTTGATTATCATTTTTTCACAAGAAAATCATTGGACTGACAGTTCAGTCGCAAGCTGCCTTCAGTCAACACACGTACAGTACACACAGTGCTGCCGCTGTCGGCCGGGACTTTGACTGAGTGAGCTAGAGTCGAAGAGTATGGGGGCCAAGCAGGCCAATATTCGTACAACTATACAACTAAACATACGTCTATCCATCCATCGAAGAACCCGTCAACACAACAGCGTGCGGGCGGAAGTGCCATAATTTTGTACACCTATATAGCTATAAAGCTATATGACTCTACGTCTACTCAGCCATTGGAGACTAATATTGTCTTATATCTACAGTAATTTACAAGAAAGCATTAAATAAGGTTATGAATTGTACATTTACATTAATAATTCAATATCAACCAGACAGAAGCATGTGACTTTATGCATCGCAAAAAGTCAGTTGCGTAATGAGTAAAATCATTTGGGGGGGGTGCAGAAAAAAATCTGCATCACCATTCACCATTCTTACATGTTACATGCAGGCTCCAAGAAACGTTTTTCAAAGTGGGGGGGAGAGATCAGTTAGATCGCAGCGAGTTGAGTGTATATATGTGTGGGGTCCACGGGTTTCAAGGGGCCATAAACCCCGAAAGCTCAGGGGTTTTAGGCATTTAATTAGGTGTTTCAAGGGGCCATAAACCCCGAAAGCTCAGGGATTTTAGGCATTCAATTAGGGTTAGATGAGCATATTTTAATACTTTATTTGTGACACTGGCAGGTCACTAATTGGCGTGGGGTCCATACGTAGAGTTGCATAGTCTTGCGTACCAACTACGCTAGCCTACGTTACTAAATATGCTGAGGGACACAAAGGGGTGAGCAAGATGGACGCCAACAATTCAACATGTTTAATTTTTTTTCGCGTACTTTCGGCGTAGAAACTTGACGCAGAAAGTATGCCTTTTTACGCAACACTACGCTACTGTACGCCATGCCTACGCAACAGTACGCTACCCTACGCCAGATCGACAAAGCGGTAAAAGCTTTCCACACAGTAAGCAACCGTAAGCAACCATAATCAAACCTGTACGCCAGCCTACGCATAACCTACGCAGGGACTACAGTGAAGCAACATTTCGCCATTAATACGCAGCCTAATTTCTGCGTAATCTGGACGCCACACTACGCAACTCTACGCAGTTCCACGCAGTTCCACGCAGTTCCAGTGTGAAAAAGGCTTAAAGAATAACTACCGGAAGAGTTGGATCTTTTTTTTTTTATAAATGGCAAATAAAGTTCTTGGTGGTTTTAATTCAGAGAGTCTCTATTTATCTATTTACACCCCCGCCCCCCTCTAGAATCCCGCGGAGGTCCTGCTAGTCGTGTTATATGAAGCTAGTGTACAGACATTCAATATGAAACAAAAACTTTGAAATTTAAGAAAGAAGCGTAAAAGATTGTCAAAATCGATTGTGAGTAAATGATATAATCTCGAAATAAATTAAGAGGTTCAAGTCACAATAAGAACGGATGTTACAGACGATATTCTTACCTGTACTACACAGAGCTCCATCAAATTCTGCAGCGCATGTACATGCATTGTTCTCACAGGTACCTCCGTTCATACATGGGTTGCCGCCAGAAGCAGAACAGTCAACTACAGAGAGGAAACAAAATATCCTTGAATAAATAACGAATCTTTACATGCATAGCGAGGATGCAGAATTAAAGTTTTGTTATATTCAGCCGGTGTACATACAATTAATATAATATATAAAAGCTTGGAATTCATGATCGTACAAAGCTTAAATGATTGTTAAAGTAGACTGCGAGTAGAATGATAATCTCGAAATGAATTGAGAGGTTAAAGTCACAATATGGATTGATGTCACAATAGATTTTCTCACCTGTACTACACAGAGCTCCATCGAATTCTGCAGCACATGTACATGCATTGTTCTCACAGGTACCTCCGTTCATACATGGGTTGCCGCCAGATGCAGAACAGTCAACTACAGAGAGAAAACAAAACATCCTTAAATCAATAACGAATCTTTAAATTCACTGCTCATGTGGAAATACGAATTACACGAATGACGAGAATACAAAATCATTTTCTTTTTGTTAGCCAGTGTACACACAATCAATATAATATCTAAAACCTTGAAATTTAAGAACAAATCGTACAATATTTTAAAAGTAGCCTGTGAGTAGAATGATAACCTTGAAATAAATAAAGAGGTTAAAGTCTCTTAATATGAATGGATGTCACAATAGATTTTCTCACCTGTACTACAAAGAGCTCCATTAAATTCCGCAGCACATGTACATTCATTGTTCTCACAGGTACCTCCATTCTGACAGGGGTTGTCGACAGAACAGCCGGCTACAGAGAGGAGAAAAATTATACTTTTAACAAGTGACAATCTTTACATTCACCGTTCTCAAAAGCAACGTTTTAAAGCTTGGAATTAAGTAAAAAAATAAATGAGAGAGTGTCAAATTAGAAAGTAAGAAGACCCTTTCCCCTTTATCCGTACAGAAACCTTTTTTTAGGGGTATGTTAAATTAGAATGAAGTTATCGAAATTATTTCAGAGTATAAAGTCACGATAGATGCGCGTGACAAGGCAACAATCTTGTATTTTTTAAGTAACCAATGATATCCTGAAAAGCAAAATATTGTTTAACAAACACGTTTAATCCCGATAGCAATTATCTATTGTCACTATGGATTTCCATACCTGTACTACACAAGGCTCCAATAAATGTCCCAGCACATGTACATGCATTGTTCTCACAGGTGCCTGCGTTCATGCATGGGTTGCCGCCAGAAGCAGAACAGTCAACTACAAAGAGGAAACAAAAATTAATATCCTCAAATGAATGATGAATGTTTACCTATATCGTTGATATGAAAATACGTGAAAGACGAGGATCAGTTATTACAATGATACCAGGCATTGTCCACAATTTACGAATGATGTATTAAACATTGTCAAGCTACAATGTAGGAAGGCTTCACCTTTATTTACACTACTGTTTTTTTCAGTGTTTTTAGTGAGAAAGTTGTATCGATAAATTTTAAGAGGTTAAAATCACAATATAAACGGATGTTACAATATATTTTTCTCACCTGTACTACAAAGAGCTCCATCAAATTCCGCTGCACATGTACATGCATTGTTCTCACAAGTACCTCCGTTCATACATGGGTTACCGCCAGATGCAGAACAGTCAACTATAGAGATGAAAGAAAATATCCTTAAATTAGTAACGAATCTGTACATTCACTGTTTATGTGGAAATGCAAAATACATGAATGACGAGAATACAAAGTTTCATATCGTTACTCAAATTTACGGGATTCTGTGAGATACGAGCCACGCATGCGCCAATCAGTGATTCTAGTGCGTGTGTTGGCTGACCACCGGCAGCAATCTTTTATCAGAAATTTTTTACATTTCGTCATATTTTCTAATATTTATATTATTTATAATATATATTTCTAATTACTATTAATAACACCAGTTTCTGAGCCGTGTTTTCTAGTTAGATCTGTTGTGCCTGTTATGACTGATATTGTTAGTGAAGAGGGCCCACGAGAAGGTGCCTCGGATCAAGCAGCGAACGGTGAGGTGTTCTCATCGGCGTCCATCCGCACGACGGCACGGGCTTCAATCGCTGAAAGGAGGATAGTGAATGCTTTGAATCTCAGCACGGCCGGTATTGGAGTGTTATTCGCTGGCACGGCTAGCGATGTGGAGATGCGGCACAGTTTTGTTATACCCAAATTAACAAATACTAATAGGTCGGGTAAGAGTGCCAGAGATTATTAAGGTCATTGAATCTCACTCTCAGTCTCAGAGGACAATTTCCAATCGGCTTAAGGCTAAGCAGAAGGCTGAGCCTGTAAAGGCCGTTTCGACCTGTAAAACAAAACATGGAAAGGCAAAGCCCAGTGACATGAAAGAGGTAAATGAGTCAAATGAACAGAGATTCCAAAATCTGGAAAAAGCACTTGAGAAACAGACTTTAATGGTGGAAAAGCTCTGTGAGAAAATATCCAATGATAGTACATTTGGAGACATGACGATGTTAAGGTTAGATCTTGAAATGCCCAAGTGGTACAACAAGAAGCATATATAATGAGTATATGGGGGAATTGGGCCTTGAGGATAGGAGCTGCGAACCTGATTATGAATACCTTTACAAACATTAGGAGGATGAACATAGCTTTTCCCTCCCGTCTGTCGAAGACCAAGTTGAGGAATTTGACAATACAGTAGAAGTAGAAACAGACGTGGCAACAGGGCATGCAGGGGATATTGTTAGCCCTATGTCAGCTTAGGGTTTTGCAGGCCGTTTCCAGACACTATCCCCAAAAGACGAGCTAGTAGACAGCCTAAAAATCATGCTGTCAGAACGGCTTGGCATGGAAAGCAAGGTTACTCTAATTGACAAATATGTTCCCTAAACGACATTACCAACCTGGTGGGACCCAAAGTAAACCCTTTGATTTGGGATAATATCCCTGTGAAAACACAATCAAGAGACTTGAGACTTCATAAACTCCAAAAGCCTCTAATTTAAGGTCTAATAGCAGTTACGAACCTCATGAAAGAAAAATATTTCCCAGAACAGGAAGAGGCCTTGGCATTACTGGCAAATGCAAAATATGAGGTGAACATGTTCAGTAGGGAGAGTATATGGCCTGAACTGAATCCGAGATATGAACCATTGTGTCGCCCTGAAGTAAAGGTAATACAGCAGCTCTTTGGTGAGGACCTTAGTAAGGTTGTCAAAGACATGACAGAACAAAAAAAGGCAGTGTCTGTTACCAAAATTGGAATCCTGAAGTTCAAGGAGCAGTGATATAGCCCATTTGCAGGTAACTTCACCAGGCCAGTCTATCCCGGGAGAGGCCGGGGAAATCAAAACTCTCCTTCAGCGCCCTCTTTTTTAGGCATTATGCGGAACAGAGGGCGGGGAGAGTATGGTACATGAGACGTCAGAATAAACAGAGGTGTCAAGGCACCAGCCACCTAGTCCAGGCCCATGTACTATATTCCGTACTGATTAAGACAGCTGATGAGGTGAGAAATAATTGTCCACTGAGTAGCACTCTGAAGTCTGAACTGTAACCTTTTCCGAGGGGGCCAAATAAAATTGCATTTGAGTTAATAGGAAGAACTAACTTTTGATAGAAATATCTTAAACATTGTCAGTGGATACAAATTGGAATTCATAGGGACACCACCTCTACAAAAGTACATACTCCACCCTTACAAACTTGGGCCTACTGAAATCATGGCTGTAGATACAGAGATACAAAACCTTTTGGACAAAGAGGTAATTGTAAGATGTGACCACATACCTGGCCAGTTTATTTCCAACATCTTCACAAGGGAGAAAGACGGAAGATTGAGAGTGATGCTCAACTTATCAGAATTGAAGAATCACTTGAGTTTCCACTACTTCAAAATGGACACATTTGAGACTGTGGTCCAATTGTTAACCAAAGAATGTTTCATGGCATCACTTGACTTAAAGGATGCATACTACTCTTTCCCCCTAGATCCCAGGTGCAGAAAATTATTGCGTTTCCAGTGGAAAGCCGAGTTGTATTGGCGAATTATGACGAGTTGTGATGAGTTGCCTCAAAGAGGCACTCGCAATACTCGCGAATAGCTCTTCTTGTAATTCGGGATAACTCGCGAAAACTCGTTATGGCTCGGCGTAACTTTTTACAACATTCCACGGCTCTCCTCGAAGTCGCGAGCAGTTCCAGAATTTTGAACATGTTCAAAATTTTCACTTACTCGTTGTAACTCGAGGTGAACTTCCTTACACTCGTAATATACTCGCATAACTCGTAACAAGCTTGCACTGCACTCTTCATAACTCATAGCAACTCGCCACCTTCAAGTATACGCGAGTGCTATTCGAGTTTCCAAGAGTGGAGTACGAGCACGACGATCGTGCTGCGTGTCATGCCTAGTTGCCTACGATATTAACGCGAGTTTAGATCGAGTACGGGGACTTACGGCGAGTTTCGTATGAGCATGAGCACACTGCAGGGCGAGCATAACGAGCATGACGAGCGTACCATGATACGTCAGCACGCCTTCAATTGTGCAGAGTATCAAGGACTGTTCTTCCTCCAACATATCGAGCAAATATGCTTCTGCTATCCATCTTTATTTTGGAGAGCGCCAAAATCAGAGGCAGCCCTCTCCGGGGGTAGGAGAGCAAGGAGGGGTGCAGGGGGCACAGTGCCCCCACTTTTTCAAATACTCGAAATGTGCCCCTTTTTACATAGGAAAAGTGCCCCTTATCTTCGACTAGTGCGCCTATTAATTGTAGAAGTGCCCCTACCCCTTTTCACCTCTTATAAGTGCCCTTTTATTTCGACAAGTGCCCCTTTTCCTTCGACAAGTTCCCATTTTCCTGTGCAATAAGTGCCCATTTTCACTTTTGATAAGTGCCCCCTTCACCTCTGATAATTTGCCTTACTCAAATCTGAGATGTGCCTCTTTTATTTTGACAAGTGCCCTTTTTCCTTTGTAAGAAGTGCCCCTTCCCCTATTAATAACTACCCCCTTTTTAACTCGGATACGCGCACCTTATATTTCACATGTTCCCTTTTCCCTTTTTAATAAGGGACCTATCCCCTTTTTATAAATGCCCCTTTTTCACCTCTTATACATGCCCCTATCGAAATCAGATGGGGCCCCTTTTCCGTTGACAAATGCCCATTTCCTATTTTCATAAGTGCCTTTTTTCATCCCTGGTGAGTGCCTCTTTTAGAAGGTTTAAGAAGAGCCAATTTTAACCTCTGATAATTACTGCTCTGCTCTGCTCGTTCGCATTTATAGATGATTTACTTCCGTTATAAAAAAAAAATCTGCATATAACCCCATCAGGATTGGTTTTTTTGCTCTTTATAAGATGTAATTTTTCGCACTACGACCTCACAAATCTTTAAAAATGTCCTCGCTCCATTCGCTCGGTCATAAATATATTCGAGGACCATTACACTCAACACAAAGTATGATGCTTAAACAATATCTTGTACTGTGTAAAAAGTGAAACAAATATTGAAATCATCCCTGATAATGTAATCACAATGAAAGGGTATATACAAATGTCTAAAACTTGTTATATTTTCGCTTTGAGATTTCCCTTTGGAGGTGCCCTTTTTTTGGTGCCCCCCCCCCCCCTCCAAACCTGGAAGTCGCTTGGCCGTCCTCGGCCCAAATGGTGCATTTCCCGCCCCTTGATCGCATATGAATCGTTGAAAACTCGTTAGAAGATCTTGATAACTCGTTGGTTGATCGGTACAAGTCGTACACAAGTCATCGCAACTCATACCGAGCTTGCGACGTATGATAATTCATGCAAATACCATACAAATTAGTAAATTTCAAGCGAGTTCACGCGAGTTTAGGCGAGTTCAAGCTCGCGCCAGCTCGCCACAACTCGAGACTCCAACTCTGCTAAGTGAGAGCCCTGCTTTACGGGTTTTCACCAGTGCCCAGAATTTTCACGAAAGTGCGTAAAGTTCCTTTAACTGTGTTCAGGAGCAGGGGGCATCTTATTATCTCCTCCAGTGATGACATACTTAAAAAGGAAGAGTCTAAGGATCAAGTAGTGCATGCGGTGCATGACACAACAAAAATACCGACACATTTGGGGTAAGTTATTCCCCCTCAAGAATCCAAATTTGAACCTAGCCAGCCACTCGTTTTCTTTGATATAAACTCAGATACAACGACTGTCAAACCGACAGAGAGGAAACTAACTGGGATTAGAGAGTTTGCGGGCAAATTGCTCAGAAAAAGCAAAGTTACGGTAAGACAGCTGGCTTGCTTTATTGGAAAAGTTGTAGCAACTCTTCATGCTTCTGAGCAAGGAAAATTGCACTACAGAGCACTTGAAAGAGACAAAGTCTTTAACCGAAACGCACATGAGGGCAATTATGATGCTAATTTGACACAGAAACAGCAAAGGAAGAATTGCATTGGTGGGTGGAGAACATTAAGTCAGCAATTACACATTTGGGTCGAAGGAAACCGGATGTTGAGCTGAGCAGTGATGCTAGTGGTTCTGGCTGGGAGGGGGCACGGATGGTAAAGCCCAATATAGAGGTCGATGGAAACCTTCAGAGTCCCTCGCCAGTTGGGCCAATATAAATTATCTAGAGTTACTTGCAGCCTTCTTTCCATTGGAGGCCTTTTGTAAGGACAAAAAGGGCATCCCTGTTCTCATGAGGGTAAGTAACACCACAGCAGTCAGCTACAATATTGCAATAGGCGATATCAAATATATGGAATGTGATGAACTTGCTGGTGTATAGAAAAGGATATATGGGCCACAGCAGCCCACTTGCCTGGTGTGGAAAATGTAATTGCAGACGACAGGTCCAGAAACTTCAGGAATGATACCGAATGTATGTTAAACCCTAAAGTT